TGCAAAAATGTTTTAATTGTTTTTTTTAACAGCCAACTGAAACTTTCAATATGCTCCTCCATATTGTTGCCTGGTACGTACAAGTTTAAAAAGTATAATAACAGCAGTATTTAAATCAAACCCAAATTTAAGATCTTTATTAACATCAAAAAACAAAACAAAACTACCAAGTTATTGTAAAAAGTCTAATCCTGATTTAAACGACCTTGTGTTTGTAATCAAAGAGTCTACTAATAACTGTAATATTTTACAAGCTGATGATGCTGGTATCCATAACCCAGCAAAAATTTCTATTATAAAATTATTTGTATTGAGAGAAACTGTATTTCTTGATGCTTTAAAATAATATATATATATATATATATATATATATATATATATATATATATATATATATATATATATATATATATATATATAGGGGAGACCGGGGCTAGTTGGCCGCAGGGGTAAGTTGACGAATTGCGTTTATCTTTAAAGCCTTTCATCAGAAAGTGATAAAAATTACACAGAATCTTCCTAATTGACTGTTTCATCATTCAATGTAGTATTGTCAGGATTCGCGCATGCGCATGGGAGATATTAAGATTTAAGTGTTTTTTGGACAAAAACGTAACTTTTGAAACATCGCTTCCTTTTTACTTTACAAAGAAAATAGTTAGTCAAATGGAAAAAAAATTATTGTAAAAGTTCTAGCCACAATTGGTTTACTATATTCAGTTTGACTTTTTTTAAAAGTTGCCGTTTTTCAGGATCTATAGACTGTTTATTGAAAAAAAAGCCTTCGGGGTAAGTTGACAAAATTTTTACGGGGTAAGTTGGCTCATAGCATTTACTATGGAGAAAAATATTTATTTTTATAAAAATAATTTTTTTAATTTTTTTAATTTTTAACAATATTGAAAAAACTTATTCTTACAAAAAAATTATAAAAATTTTTTTTTTAGGTTTTTTGTAACAGGTAAAAAGAGGGCTGCTGTTTTGGCTGTTATACGTACTAATATTTAGCACAAGCTAAAAATAATATCAAATTATTAGCTTAAATTGTTGCCAAAATTAATAGGTAAAAAATTTCTATTAATTTTGCACTTAATAGTACATTAATAATCACGTTTATAGTTTGCGTCAACTTACCCCGTGGTGGGGTAAGTTGGCGCAATTTTTTTTTTTTTTTGAGGGCCCCGTAAGGCCCCAAGAATTTTTTTTTGTAAATCCATGAAACTTTTATAAGTTACCCAAGTTCATACGCTTTGAGACTACACTTTAATATTTTCAAAAAAGTGTGCTATTAGGGCTACAGAGCTCATAGAGTAAAAACCGAGCCAACTAGCCCCGGTCTCCCCTATATATATATATATATATATATATATATATATATATATATTTCTATGTGAATTTCTTATATCTTATACCAATTTCTATTTGAATTTCTTATATCTTATGCGAACTAGTTGTCTTAATAATACCGGTTTATATAGAGATGATGGTCTTAACTGCTTCTATAATATCTCAAAGTATATATGTATCTTGCAAGCCAATTTCCTGTCTTTATGTAACCATTTATATAACTTTTGATTCAAATATACAATTTTTCTTCAAATTTAAGTTAATAAACCATGAGTTTAATAAAAAAAATAACCCTCTCATAGTTTTGAAACTAAAAAAAAAATAAGTTGACGTACCTTACTCTTAAATGTTATATTCAGCTAGTAAAATAAAAATAGGGTGGGGAAATATAATTTTTAACTTCAAAACTGAATTTCTTGACTCAGAGAAACCCTAAATTCGTGTAAAATATGATAAAAAATATTAATTTTTGATAGATAAATGGTTGTGGCTGTTTTTATGTTTCTCTTAGAGGCATTGTGCGATACCTTAAAATTTTTAGCAAAGATAGTCATATCATAAAATATACCATAAATTAAAAACGTAAAACCTAGCATATCATTTGGTCCTGATGATATATAAACTTTACTTTTAAAGAAAATAAACCGCCTCCTAGGGCCCTCCGTAATTCTGGTTTCAGTTTTAGTTGTCTCTAGTTGGTTGACAAAAGAAAAAAGAAAAAAAAAAAGCAACGCCAAGAGAAATTTTATTTAGTGAAGAGAATGTAATATATTAAAAAAACACACGCTAAAACGCATTTCTCTACGCTATCATTCTAACTCGATTATTTTTGACTTTTACTTTTTCTCTGATTCTTAAACTCACCTCCGCTAGTCCGCTAAGCAGGTTTTGATGCTTTTTAGAGAGTTAAACTTGTCTTCTGTGGATCTTGGTAGCACTCGTATGGAAATTAGCAGGACGAGGATAAACGCAGGTGCGGGTGCAGCATTTTTTGATGTTTGAGATACCTAACTTAATAACCAGACATGGAGCAAACTCCAAAAATTTATGTTTAAATTTATACTTATATCAAATAAGGTTGCAATGATGCTTTACAAAAAATAAGGATGCTTTACAGAAAATTGCAATGATTGGATCCTAGGAATAAAAAAGCCCTAAAATTCTAGCTACACCTGCGTCAAACATGATAGCAACAGGTTGATAAAATATTTTTTAAACTATTCTCAACCAAGTTTATATTCATCATTAAATTTTAAGATTCACACTATAACCTTTAAGGGTTCAAAAAATATGACCATCAAAAGTTTGAACCCCCTCAATTTTAGCGGGTTCCAAATTTCATAATTGTTTAACGCTAACATAATATTGTGTGAGTTTTAAAATTTATCGATGAATAAAAACGTGGTTGAGAATAGTAAAAAAAGTATTTTATTAACTTGTTGCTATCATGTTTGGGGCAAGTGTAGCTAAAATGTTAGGGTTTTTTTTGTTCCCAGGCTCCAATCATCGCAATTTTTTGCAAAGCATCTTTGTTCAATATATGTGTAAACATATAAACTTTTGGAGTTTGCTTCATGTTTGGAAGATAGGTATCTCAAACATCAAAAAATGCTGCATCCGCACCTGAAAAGACAATATCTGATAAAGTAGCAACGCCGACAATAGTTATGTTTAAACAACTTTTTCGTTATCAATCAGCTGGTTTCCTTATCAACCAGCTAGTTTCGTTATCAATTCGCTGGTTAGGCCCTCCGTTAAATAATTTTTTCTTTATATAAAAATTACTTTTAAATAAATATATAGTTATAGTTTTATATAAATATAAACTATAACATTATCTACATTTTTATATAAATATATAGCTATATTTTTATATATATAACTATAACAAACTATATTTTTCTTTCGATTTATAGTTTAAAAAAAGTTCGAAATTTGTCCACAAAAATGTCTTTATAAAAAAATATTTTTGTTAATATAGCAAATTTTAATTATGAAAATTTAACAACTTTTTGTGTATTAGCCCATACTTGTGTATTAGCCCATACATAAGATAATTTATTTGCTTCAAAACTTTGAGTGAATTATAACTCAAAGTTTTGAAGTTAATATTTATCATATTTTGTCCCGAACAACGATTTTAAATTGATAAATATAAAACAAAGACGTTTTATCAGCATACATTATTAAAGATACTTTAAATGATACTGTACATATCATCGATATAATTTAAAATAAATAACGATCATAGGAATGATGTTTGAGGGACCATAACCGACGCTACCTGGTACGGAGGCGTCGGCCATGTATTGGTCACCCCACTTTTTTTTCTAAAATATTTTTTTTTTCTAGAACACCTGATTCTTTTTTATGCTCTCATTTATTTTTATTTTTAAATCAAGTCTTTTATACGAAAATTTAATTTTAATTTAATTTTAAAAGTAAAATGCAGTAATTATAATAATATGAAATATGAAAAACATGGTGAACAATAAGCAGGGAAAATATTCCGATGTCAAACATCTTTTGAATTAGTTTTATTTAATACTTTTATCTTGTAGATTTAAACACAACGGGTGTTTACATAAAAGATTATTAATTAATTATAAAGCTTGTCAGTTTCGATGTTTGATTTTTTGTGCAAACTATTTTGCGTTTAAGCTGCAATATACACATTTTATTCTTGCTTGCCTTTTATTCTTGAGTGATTTTATATTTTGATTATATATTATAGACTATATTTTGTTATTTTTGTTACTATTGATGCCGATAAACAGAAAAGTAAAGTAACCTATTGCCAGTCGATAAACAGAAAAGTAAAATGACCTACTTATTCTAAACTTGCTAGATTAAAATAAAATTAATTACAATTAAAAATTTCAAAAAGTTGCAAAAATAAGAAAAATGCTTAAAAATATTATTTTTTTTAAAATTCCAAAAATAGACGGTATTTTTAGATAGTTTAGCTGGTTGTATTTCAAAAATATACGACAATTTTAGCTGGTTTTATTTTAAAAATACAACCAGCTAAAATTGCCATATTTCTGGTTGTATTTCAAAAATACAACCAGCTAAAAAACTGGTTGTATTTCAATTTTAGAAAGTTTACCTGGTTGTATTTCAAAAATTTGGGTTAGCTCTATGTACACAATTTAGCGCCATTGTTTGCTACACGGGTACAACAAAGTGAAATTAATATTTTTGACAATTTTTAGGTGGCACAGTGGATAGAGCGCTTGCTTCAGAATCAATTCAATGCCCGCTCTGACCATACTTACAGCATTTAAATGACCGTAAAAGTCGTCTTGAAACACCTCAATAACTAGAAAAAAAATAAAGAGAAAAAATTATAGCTTCTACAATGATGAGAGAAATTAATAATCTATAAGTTTATATAATAATAATATAATAATATAAAATTAATAGTCAAAAAAATCTTAATAGTCTCTACAATGAAGTGGTAAAGTTTTTTTGCAATGAGGAGAGCAATTGATTAAGTTGATTTCTCTATAGTCTTGTTTGTTTTTAAATTGACTTTTTATTCAATTTTTGTTTGTCGAAGGTTTATTTAGTTTTCTTCTGAGTTTATTAACACAATTTTGCTGTTTAAAGTTTTTGTTAATGCGGCGATAAAAATATAAAAGGTTTTTATGATGAACCGCGTTATTTCAACTGCCACTTTTGTAATTGTGCTAGTGAAGAACGTATCCAATTTATTAAACTGTTCAGAAAAATCAAATTTTTCTTTAAACAATAAAAGTATTTCTATCGAATCCAAAACTCATAGCGATTACAATATTCATAGTATTTTTACTTTTACTGAATTAGTTGAATCAGACAAATCATTCGAACAAAGAAAAATTTCTTTAGAAGGATTACAGAGAGTTTTTGCAGTCAAATATGCTATTAATAGCATGAACAAAAGACGAGATATTTTACCGAACATAACACTTGGATATATTTTTAATGATGCATGCTTTAACTTGTCAGTAACCATGAGCCATGGTATTGAGCTTGTTGATAGCTATCGCCGACATCGCTGCATAAGCAACACCAGCGACTTCAATACTTGCGCTAGTTTAAAAAATAAAGCTATTGCAGCAATAGGTGATTATTACTCTTTTTCTACAATTAAGTTAGCAAGCTTGTTAAATATTCATAAAATTCCACTCATCAGCGACGGAGCCTCCTCTCCATTGTTGAATAGTAGCAATTTAAATTTTAAATCTTTTTTTCGTACAATTCAATCGGATGCCGTTCAAGTTGATGTGATGATAGAAGTTTTAAAATTGTTTAATTGGAGTTATGTAATTGTAATAGGCTCCGATGACACTTACGGAAAGGTTGCAATTTCTATTTTAAAACAACGCGCTGCTCAAGAGAGTTTATGTATTGTTGAAGATATATATATTCCAACCACTACAATTCAAATTGAAAACAATGCGCAAAGTGTTATGAATAAAATAATGGGAGCTAAGCGCGCTCAAGTTGTTATTATGTTTACCAGTCAAAAAAAAATAGGCGAGCATTTATTACAATTGGCCTATAAAATGAATATATCGCGTATTTGGCTTACAAATGATGCTTGGAATCCGGATATTCTTTCGAGTAGTGTTCCAATTACCCAGATTGAATCATTGTTAACTATTTCGCTTTATTATGGCGATGATATACCAGAATTTAAAGAATATATAAATGATGCAGTAAATAATGATTATGTGTGTGACTTTCTACTTAAAAGTTTTATTATCGAAACATTTAACTGCACTGTATACAATAAATCTGAGAATGGGAAATCTTTAATAGGTTTTTTACCAAACAAATACGACAAATGTGAAGTGCCAATTGATCAACTTATAAGATATATAGCCACCAAAGACTTAAACCAAGTGAACTATTTAGTTGATGCAGTTAATGTAATTGCTTACGCTTTACATGCAGCAGCATGCGATCAAACTATATGTCGGTTGGATGTTCAACCACAAGAGGTTACAAAAACTTTAAAAACAGTTCATGCTCCATCTGTACTAGGAGGCTTTGTTGAGTTTGATTCTTGGCACAGTCCAACCTTTTCACGTTATTCCATTGATCAGGTTCAATTAAGCGCGGGAAAAGCAAAATATGTACGTGTAGGAACTTGGGATACTAAATCTAAGTTGCTTAATATTAATGCAACAACGTTAAAATGGCCATCATGGTTAGATTTTAAAATACCGACTTCTTCTTGTAGAAATATTTGCAATCCTGGTGAAAAAGTGGTAGGTAAAAATTTGTGCTGCTGGCATTGCGATAAATGCTCTGTAGGTGAAACAAGCAACGTGTCAAATGCAGATAGCTGTTCCCCGTGCCCTGAACATTTTTTTACAAGAGATCATAAAAGTTGCATTAAAATGCCAACGTCTTATATTGCAAGCTCAAATGCAGTTGGCATATTTAGTATCACTTTAAGTATTATTGGAATATGTCTTACAATAGTTTCGTACCTATTATTTTTATTTTTGAGAAAGAAATCAGTTCTCTTTATGCGAAATTCTATTCTATATACAACACTGTCAGATTTTTTACCCTTGTTAACATTTTGTTATACCTTCTTAGAATTATCGTATCCTTCGGAAACAGTTTGTATAGCTCAAGATATATACTTTAACTTACTTTGTATTTTTTATGCTTCAATTTTAATTATAAAAAATAAATCGGTGGGACACTTTCTTCCCAAATTGCTTCATTGCTTAGGGAAAGAAAAGATATTGCGAATGGGATTGATTATTCTTTTAGTCTCCATGGAGATCATTTTTTTAACTATATGGATTAATGCAAGAGAAACTTTTTTTTCTGAAAAAATTTATGACAACATATTATATATAAGGTGCATAAACGTTGATAAATTTAGCATGAATTCTACTATTCGCTTAACAGCTCGAATATTTCCAGCTGTTTCACTTTTAATTGGAGCAATATTAACTTTGCCAGAACGCAATTCAAATTACAACTTTGGTGAGTTAAGAAGTTTATTTTTTTTTGGAGTAACACTTGTTACAATTACAGGAGCATACGGAATTACAATAAATCAAGTGTTAGAGATATTCCAACCTTGGGTTGTCTTGATTGCAACAAACGGATACGGATTTACTTATCTTTTGTGCCTTACGTTGCCAAAATTTTATATTGCGTTTAAAGGTAAATAGTTCCATCTCGATACAGTAATTTTTAGCAACTGAATTATTAACTGAAATATTAAAAAAATTGAATTTTTTACAATTTATTTCTTAATGTTTTAAATTTATAAATTAGATAAATATAAACAACAATTTAAAAAATAAAAATTTTTAAATTGTTGTTTATATTTAAGTAACGGTTAAATATGTGCGCGAGTTTTTAAAAAGAATAGACAGTAAAATATTTAATTCCTTATATTTTTCTAGCATCCTAAAAATATTACAAGATTTGCAAAAGACTTAATACTATTTTTTAGAAAAACAATTTCTCTACAACTAACATGTCAATAACAAGTTAATTTTTTTTATTTTTTTGTTGTTTTTATTAGTTTAGTTTTATCAAAGGAATACAAAAAACATACCCAAAAATGTTGTAAAGAAAAAAATTGAATAAATAAGCATTATGGTTTCCATTCTTACATTCTTGAAAAGGTGTAGAGCATTCATTAATGAATTAAAAAAAAGGAATTCTTTTGGGTGAACTTGTTTCAGATTAGGAAAAAGTTACAAATGAAAACCAATGCTGACGCCCAGAAATTGACGGCTCTCAAAATGAAGGTAGTGTAAAAAGTTTCAGTTTTTTAGGAAACACTTCTATCGTATTATCACAACGCCAATCAAAAAATATTTTAAGACACATAAATACATCAAGCTTTAATAAAAAACCAGTTCTTATTAAGACGAATGCAAGGTATTAAAATGTAAATCAAAACGCTGTAAACTATGTACTATGTATCTTCAGTTTGTTAACCATTTTACAACATCATCTGGTAAAGTATGGTACATTAAAACTTCAATATCATGTAATTCAAAAAATATCATTTATTTTCTATCATGTAATAGATGTGATGGAAAAACAACATACATTGGTAAAACTAATAGTCTAAGGTTAGGAACTAATCTACACATCTACACCTGCAGAACAGGTATTGGATAAATTTGATCAGTATGTTTTCAATTGCCATAAAAATGAACCTTTTTTAAATTGTTTCCTATGTTAAAACTTTCAAATTTACTTCTTATTTATGAAGCTCACCGACATAAACAGGGACATGACACAATGAACATATAAATAGAAAGTAATTATTTTTACATTACTTTTAAAAAGATTTTCTTTCCAACAAAAATCAAGTTATACTATATTATGGTTAATTATAGTTTTTTTATATAAACCTTAATTACTTCCTTTTTTAACTTTTTATAGGAAGTTCAATATAAAGAATTTTGATAGTTTTGTAAATATCATACACAGCTGAAGATTTTGTATGAAAGGCATTCTGTATTAGAGAAAAAATTTAAAATATTTGTTAAAAGTTAACTAATAAATATATTTTACTCATCTTAGTTTGAATAGTTTTTCTTTTGTTACCTGAAACGTTTTACTATATATATATATATATATATATATATATATATATATATATATATATATATATATATATATATATATATATATATATATATATATATATATATATATATATATATATATATATATATATATATATATGTATGCATCATTTATACATTATAACATAATATATACATAATGTATAAATAAATAACTGTATATACAACCCACGATGAAACAATCATCAAATTAAATGAAACAACACTGGAGCGAGACCTAGGTATTAACATAAATAATAATCTGAAATGGAAAGACCACATTACAGTGATAGCCAATAAAGCTTATTAAAAACTAGGTACACTAAAGCGGACAATTATATTCTGGTCAACTGACTCATTTACTAAACTATATACAACTTATGTTAGACCTTAATTAGAGTTTGTGCATCAGTTTGGAATTCACATTTGAAAAATAAAATAAAAAAAGCCTCATCCGATATTTTAAAATAAAAACTAATTTAAACAAAGTAAACTGGAGCCATCCATACTCAAAAACTTTTTCTTTAACTCTAAAAAACCCATTTTCAAATATCATAGGAGAACTACACAAAGATAGTGTCTTATTGGTACAATTTATTAAATAACTTAGTAACATCAAAAACAGTTAACAAATTCAAAAAAAAATATCTTCCTAGACAACAACTAACTAACTAATTTCTACTATAGTAGGATTACTCTGCAAATATTTGTAATATCTATGCTCTAGAAGTAAGTAAACAAGTAAATACATTAATTTGTTTACTTATTTCTACAGCATAGATATTACTTATTTTATTGAGTTTATTGATATTGAAAATTAAGTTGCTGTTCTTGCCTCGAATTATAGTTGAAGATATGCTCAGGTAGTTTGCAAACCTATCCACATAGTTTTTAAATTTCTAAAAAAGTTAAAGAAATGTAGTAAAAAATTTAAAGAAATGTAATAAAAAAGTTAAAGAAATGTAGTAAAAAAGTTAAAGAAAGGTAGTAAAAAAGTTATAGAAATGTTGTAAAAGAGTTAAAGAAATATTCAAAATAATTCTTTGATTCAAACAATTATATTATTTTCAAAATATGTATTTGAAATCTAATATATCAAAGTCCATGTTTAGTAAATGCCGTTTTGAATCAGCTTTAAAACTTTCCATTGTGCAGTTTAAGAGGAAATCTAGTTTATCATTAAAAATGCAAAGAAAACTTTTCCAGACAAAAAGTCCACGATGGTTATGAGAATAACAAAGTTATTTCTAAAAATTTAGTAGGATATTTATGAGAACTTCATTAAAGTAAGATTAAAAGAAAAAATGCATATTTTGCCTTCAACAGGATCATCAGTAAAATTGATAAAAATAGGTTGAAGTAGGTATGTGGATTAAAAATTTTAAGTTGATCAAATACTATACTTATATACCATTAGATAGAGTTTCAATACAGTATTTTAATGGTGAAAAAATTATTAAAATCGAACAATTCTACAAAAATGTTACTACGTTTTAAGTAACAAATTTTTGATTATCTGGTTTTTTTAAAGAAACTAAGGTCAAAGTTTCAACTTTTATCTGAATACATAAAACTTGGTATCAAAAAATAGGTGTAACATTGGGCTACATATTTATATTGGCTTGTCACCACTAGGCGAATCAAGGAGTACGTATAGAGGGGGTGCAGAACCACCACTTCAACTCTAAAAAATGCATATTTTTTATAAAAACGTGTTTTTTTTACAAATTTTTTCATACAATAATACTAAAATTTTATTTAAGACCATAAATAAATATGATAATATGAAAAAATATCTTAGAGTTACAGGAGGAAGTGGTGGTAATGGTTTAGCAAACCCTATTTTAAAAAATGTTCAATTCTTATATATAGTTTGTTATTAAAATAAGTAAAACTATAATAAAATTTATAACACATACAAAAAAGCTTATATTTTTGAAGTTCATACAAGTATTAATGCATTATACATCATAATAGGTCGTCCACCCAGCCATCCCTCCCTCCACCTCTCCCACACCCTAACTTAAAAAATGGAGAAAAATATTTTACATAAACAAAAAAATTTTGAATAAAATTTTTTTATTGCTTATGGAAAGTTACAAAAATTATATTCCAGACCATAAATATGAAAGAGGCATTTTGGAAATGGATTTTGGAGTAGAATGTGGTAATGATTTAACACACCCTAATATCAAAAATGCTGACTCCATATAAAAATATTTATATTGAAATCTGAAGGTTATTATACAAGTTAAAATACATACAATCAAAATTATGTTTTTCAAGAATTTACATATAGTAGTGATGTACATCAACTTACGAGGGTGTGTCTCCCTCCCCCTCCCCTTTCGCCCAACCCCTTACAGCCTCAAAAAATTAGAAATTAAAAATTTTTAATTCAAAAAAGGTTTTAAAACAAAAAATTCAATTACTAAATGAAAAGCTTCCAAAACATGAATTTGGCATTTGACTAAATTCAGCTTTTATCTATTGGTCTTCTTTTTTTTTCTTTTATTGAGTTTTTCAATTCTTTTATCATAGATCAGAAATGGAATACTCAGTGTTATATCATTAATGGTAGAGTTTTCACCAAATAACTCTATTTGACATTATGTAAATCATAAAAATGCAAGGTTGACAGTTTATAAAAGTTGTCAATATTGTTAAAAAATATTAAAAGCACTCATGTCCAAACTCATTCATCTATTTATTGGGAATTGTATAAATGTCTGTACTCATTCATCTATTTATTGGGAATTGTATAAAATCTCTGCTCAAGTATTAGTATGTATCAGTCAAATCTTTTTTTTAATTATTTGAATAGACCACAAGTTTAGATTTTCTTTAGATATATGAATTTAACTATTAAGATAATCCAAAGCTCTATAATTTTTATCTTAATTTGCATAAAATATAACAACTTGCATTAGATGACTTTTCTTAGGCATCGCTAAACTTCATTCAAACAACGATCATTTTGAACAAATTTACTAGTTCGGAAACTTACTTGCATAATCATGTGCAAATAGTAAAAGTTACAAACGAAGCTGCTGAAACAAAAAATAAAAAAAAAAAAAAAGATTTTAAAAATATTGATATAATAAGGATCTAAAACACCTTGGTATCACAAGGTTTTGCAAGTAAGTGCACGTTTGCAAAGCGCATTTATAAAATTAATTTTAACCCATGTTTAAAAAATTTATAAAATTAATTTTAACCCTTAAAGTTAAAAGCGCATTTATAAAATTAATTTTAACCCTTGTATTTTAAATATCGATGAAAAGAAAAATATGGAAAACAATTACAGAAGAAACTAAAAATACGATTATTTCAATGAGAAATTGTGAAAAATATTCAATCAAGGAAATATCCGACGCTTGTAATTTAACTCGAAATGCTGTCAATCGTGTTATAAAAAATAGTGATAATAATATACCCTTCACGTCTACAGTAAAAGGAAAGAAACGTATAAAATTAAAAATTCTATAAATACAAACATTGAACAAACAATATTTAATTCCGTGGTCTGAAACAATGCCGTAATTAAAAAATAAATTTAAACGCAAGTTTTAGAACAAGTTGATAAAAACGTTTCAATCGCGTTTGTTTCACGTAAATTAAAGTAATTAAATTTGACACGAAAAAGATTAGCAATCATTCATCAAAAAAGGAACACCATGGAGAGAATAAATTAGAGATCAATTTTTGCAGCAGACGTTACTAGAATTATTGATTCAAATTTGTTTTTGTTAGACGAAACAGGATTCAATAAACATACAGTGCGTTCGTACGGCTATTCTCCAAAAGATACAAGAGCATACGTGCGTATTTTTTAATTTAGAAGTTGAATGTTTCCAATACAAAAGCGGCGCATACAATGGAAAATCATTTATTGATTTTATTAACAACAAACTAATACTATTCTTTGCAGTAAATACAAATAAAATTCTTATAAAAGATAATGCAAAATTTCATGAAGCAGCTGCAGTACTTCAACTACTATGAGAAAAAAATAATAATCACAAGTTTTTAGTACCATACTTCCCTAAGTTAAACCCAATCGAAGTGTTCTTTTCAATGTTAAAATCCAATTTCAAATTCACAAGAAATTCTAATCCCGATATGACTATTGAAGAATTATATTTTATATAGAATATACTTTTATTACCTGATAATAATTATAGTCAACAGTGCAATGCCTTTTATATAAATATAAGAAGATGGTTGGAAAAAGCTATAAGAAGAGAAGAATTTATCTAATTAAAATGTTTGAAATAATTAGTTTATTTTTTTATTTTTGCATGTCTTCTTAAAAATTTATGATTAAATAATGTATATTTTGTTATTTTTGTTAAACTTATGGAAAATAAGTATCTAATCTAGAAAAGTTATTGATATATAACAATTTGCTAAATTAAGTAAAAATGTAAAGAATTTTTACTAACTAATCACTTTTTTTTAAAAAAGAAAAAAAACACTTTTTGATTGCCATGATGTAACTTAATTTAATATTTTGCGCAATATTTTTTATTTATAAAACTAAAAAAAATAATTTCCAAAAAAATATATATGCACTTATAACTTTACAAGCAATATACATATATATATATATATATATATATATATATATATATATATATATATATATATATATATATATATATATATATAAATATATATATATATATATATATATATATATATATATATATATATATATATATATATATATATATATATATATATATATATATATATATATATATATATATATATATATGTACATATATTTATATTTATAAATTAGCAGAAAATCACGTAACAAATTTTTTTTCATTTTACACTGTCTCATCAATAAAGATATATATATATGTGATAAAGATATATATATGTGTGTGCGTGTGTCTAGGGGTGGGGGAGTGGGGATGGGTGTGTATGTATGTACGTATTTTACATATTCGTCAGGGCCCCGCATTTTTTTTTTCCGAGAAAATTCTAGATGTAGAGGACTTTTTTAAAAAAAGACGGTTGTGCCCCTCCACAACCGTCTATTTTTAAAAACGAAACCCGTATTGTCGGCTATGTTAATGTATAATTTCTTTTAACTCTACTTTATTATAGATAGCGATTCTTTATAGTTATTGAAGTTAGGCAAAAACAATATTTTCATATTTATGAATATATATATATATATATATATATATATATATATATATATATATATATATATATATATATGTATATATATATATATATATATATATATATATATATATATATATATATATATATATATATATATATATATATATATATATATATATATATATATATATATATATATCTGCCTATATTGCTATTCGATCAGGAAAACATGCATCCTCAACCGCTTTTGCTTATGGATTAAACTTTTAGTGGCTCTTTGATATAAAAGAATTTGACTCTTAATGAATATTACCAAAGTTTCTCAAACTAATATGGTTAAGACTATCCTTGTTTTTAGTGTCGATGAGGGACCCGACAAAAATCCCAGATACCATAAGGTAATTAAAATCGGAATTTCTTTGAATTACCTCGATGCTCTTTTTATCAAGGCAAACGCTACGTGACGCAGTGCATTTAACTGAGTTGAGCGACGAATGGCACCTCTAAGTAAAGAACTATCTGGGTTATTTCTTCTGTACGAGCATTATAGAACTTATCTTGATTCTCAGAGTAATTACAAATATTAATTGACATAAGTTAATTTGTAATATATAAAATGATTTTTAACCAATAATAACCATTATATCTTTTTAAATCAGGCAGGACAATAGATAAAGATTAAGAAAAAAAGAACTTTTGTTCCCGAACAGGTTTTTACAGATATTTGGTCTGACCTAAAAATTGACGTTTATCCAACCGTTGCAGAGTATATTAATTCAGAGCAATCAGAACTAAAGTCAAATAAACTTATTACAACATCAACGTTAGATTGCCCATCATCTTCGTACGAGTCAATATTTTACTCAAAATGTGAAATGAAAAAGTTCTTGTTTTCGGACTATAAGAAGCTCTTACTTTACTCTAATTAAAGCACAATTTCTTCCGCCATCTGTGCCGGTAATCTAAGCAAAAGATGGTCTCAAAGCAGTAGATGTCTCAGAAGGAGCTAAAGAGTTGTTTCCACCATCCCTGTTTATACTCATCGCATAAAACATTAAAAGTATTTTTCCTCGACCTGCCAAAGGATTTACTTCCGTATGATGCGTTTTGTTCATCAACTCAGTCTAGCCTAGCTGATAGAATCTGTAAAAAGTGAAATATCTACTTTGCCTTACAAGCTATGCTGAAAAAGCACGTTTCTATCCATTCCTATGGATAAAAACGTACTTTTTCCAATATAATGGAAAATTTATATGCTACCTATTGTTTCAATCGAAGATTATTTCAAGAACCCATAAGAAGATAGCGAGTGAGTGAATTTATGTTATAGGTATAGAATAAAATTTGCTTAGTTTGTTTATTATTTGATGAGATATCAACTGCTTTATAATATAATTTACTGAGATCTACTACTGTATAAATGTATAATTTAACCAGAAAAAAATCAATGGTGTTTACGCATATTTTTAATATTATTTTAGAAAGTAGGGGGGTGTGTGTGTGTGCAAAAACTCATTCATATATAAGAAGGAGGGGCAGGAGTTGGTCAAAAATTGACAGTTTGACAAAGGGAGGAGGGGTTAGGGGTTCGAAAAATTACTGACACTATTTATGGACAGCCTCTAAAGTGAAAACAATCATTAGTTATATTCGTTAGTTAAACAAAAGGAAACATTAAAGGTGTGAAACTTACGTCATAGAATAATGAAATATGTATATAATTAGTCAAATAGATACGTCATAGAGTAATAGAAAACGTTGATTAGAGCTGGAGTGATAGCGTGTAATTTAAAACCTGTTTATTAAGATTAGGTTTTTCTTACGCAATGTGTAACGCTTATTTTATTTTTAAGTGGTTACAAATTGTATATGATCATAATTTTTAACGATAAAAGATAATACTATGAAACTTAAAATTTAGAGACGAATATAAGTCTAATTGAAAATAGTACAAAAAAATTTTTATTAACTTTTTGCCCCTAACGTTTGGGGTGAGGATGGGAGGGCGGGTTTGGGCGTGATGAAGTCAAAGGGCTTTTTTGTTCCCAGTCTCCAATCAACGCAATATTTTGCATTTGTCTCATTATTTGACATAAATATAAACATAAAAATGTTTGGAGATTGCTTCATGTCCGGTTTTTTCACCAAACATTCCTGGATCCGTAACTATTTTACTATTTCTAAATACTAACTGATTGCTATTTCTGAGTCAATTTTTACCAAAAAAATTACAGAAGATACGTAGATGACAGTCATGCTAGATTCGATCAATACAAAATTATGGTGTTTTTTTTTAATTATTAAACAAGCAAGAAACAGCAGTAAAATATAACTCAGAAAAAGAAAATAATAAAAAAGTGTTAATTTATCACTAATATTCAAACAAAGCCAACATTAAACGTTAATCCAAAGAAAGTTAAAGGTGTTTTTAAAAGTAATGTGTCTCGTGCCATTAAAATTTGTTCCAAAAAGTATCTTAATGATGAAATACAGTTTTTAGTAAACATGTTTGCAGAAAATGGACACAATAAATCAAAGCTAGTTAATTGCCAAAAACTTTATCTAAAAAATAAACAACCTTCCTAACATAAATTATAATTAAAACAGAAACAAGTAAAATATACGATTAAACTTACATGGCTTCCGAGAATAGGTTTGTTAGAAAAGAACTAAAACCATAAATTGTCAAAATAATTTTTACTTCATAACCTAGAGTCACACAACAAGTCAAAATTAATTCCTAAAATTAATCTAGGTGTCGACAACAAAACAAGAAAGTTTTAATGAGATGCATTGAACATCAAAAAACTATTCAAAAGGTAAGTGGGATGCATCTGATGCAACCGAACATAATGAGAAATATAATCATTGAGAATATAATGATTTGTTTGATTTGTCACATCCCGAAATTCTAGCAATAAATTGAGCATGATGGACGTAAAGTGAGAGAATCACTCAAAGTTAACTATAATTTATACCAGGAAATAAAATACGCTTCTAAACTTCTCTGCTGTGACAACGGCGTTAAAGTATCTACAAAATATGCTCTATACTTCTCTACTGTGACAACGGCATTAAAGTATCTACAAAATACGCTTCTATACTTCTCTACTGTGACAACGGCGTTAAAGTATCTACAAACAGTAAGAAACTTTTGGTTAAAAAAATTACCCAAAAAAAACGGAATTAAATAAAGGAAAGTCGGGTAGCCCCGGACACTTAAAGAAAATATAAATTATACACATGTACTAACAGAAAAGAAAGCGTCAAAAGACTTTTTTAAAAATATAAATATTCATCTATCGAATTAGAAACAGAAAAATAATTATTTTGTATCTTAGAAATATATACAACATAAAAAAAAAATTTGAAAAATGTCATGTTTCAAAATTGGAGGGTAGCCCTGGACACATAATTAATCATAATTTTACCTATTTTTTTACCAGAGTAACACAAACATAGTATATATTATTTTGGCATTGGATTGTTCTCAACACACTTAAAAAAAAATTGCCTTAAAAATTTGCCTTTTATTTTTATAAAAAAAGTTTTTCATTTTTAATATATAAACGGATTAAGTTACCCGGAACTACCTTCCAAACTTGTGTCCGATACAACCCAATCGTACTTCATTCACAAATACGAGTTTTAAAAATGAATTAAATTTTTAAACGAATTTTTTATTGTAAAATTGTAAGTCACCGAGAGCCTTTATGACGCCCGTATTAGGCGCCCTCCTAAGCATACATAATTTCCCATTAGGCATATTTATAATTGCATACGCTTTAAAAAAAATTTTTTTAATGATGCATACAGATGGGAAAATTGGCTGATGATCCTATGAATGTATTTGGTTGAGAAGGTTCAAGAAGTATTCCTGAGTAAAAAACAAAGATTTCTTCGAACGATTAAATTGCATACTTTCTCATATAGAGTTGTCTTCTTGGACATCATATATTCATGACCTTTTATTTCTGAAAAACAAATAAAATTTCAACCTCTGATTTATTGCTGATAAAATATCTCTAAATTGTCAAAAAAGTAGTTTTACTCTCAATTTTACATCATCTAGTTTTACATTAAATAAAACAATCAATTAATCTTCCTATAAAGCTGCCTAAACTGCTTGTTAATAAAAATGAAATTAAATGTAAAAAATATACAATATACCGCTGTAATTGGCATTTTGTGTAAATTAATCACGAAAAATGCTTTACATTAGTCTTGTATTAGTCAGCTTTTGCACGCAAATATTGTATAGGCCAGCTCCCATAAAACGAAATTGCTAAAATTGCAAAGCCTGCAAAACCATGCATGCAAAGCAATTCATTATTTAAATAAGTTAGTAAACCCAGTCCCAGTGATGAAAAGTATGATAGTTCTAGATATTGAGAAGCTTAACACGTTACAGATATTAATTTTTATGTATAATAAGAACAATTTACTACCAAGAGTTTTTTCAGATACTTTCTTGATACCATTTTCGGAAAAGTATAATTTGCATTCAAATACAAAGCAAAACTACTACTTAGGGAAAATTAAATCTCGGTAGTCAAATTTTTTAATTACAAACAAAAATAAAAGTATTAAAGACCTAAAAAAAATATAATTGTTTAAACGGCAAAATAAATTGCGTCTTTTTAAATGCAAAGACGGATTCAGCATAGGGTGTGAGGGAAGGGGGATTGGTGGGGCGAGTTAACCCTCCTCTCCCCCTTTTCCTAAGCCGATCAACTGGGGCCCCCTAAAATCTAAGTTTCACATTTAAAAATTTTGCATTTGCTTTAAAGCGAAAAAAAAAAGATAAGGTAACTATTAATCATCGCTTACATTCTTTACAAGTTTGCACGCATTTATGGCAGAAAACAAAGCAAAGACGTTTTGTTTAAAAAAAGTATTGTAATAATAATGTACACAGTCAATTGATTTTTAACAGTTCAGTGTATCAAAAATACTGTGACTCTACATTTACAGATATTCATAAAACTATAATGACTTTGCAAACGATAAACTACTTTTTTTTGTGGAGAAAAACAAAAATTTATAAATTAACTGAGTTCAACATGTGGAACAATTTAGATTTATTTTTATGTGTTAAAAAGGTTTTTGGCCAAAATCCCGTATGGCACCCCCTCCCCACTTAAAACCAACTCATATATATATATATATATATATATATATATATATATATATATATATATATATATATATATATATATATATATATATATATATATATATATATATATATATATATATATAATATATATATATATATATATATATATATATATATGTATATACATATATATATATATATATATATATATATATATATATATATATATATATATATATATATATATATATATATATATATATATATATATATATATATTGTAAATTTTAACCTACTCGGTTTATATAACAAAAAAAAGTTAGAATTCAAAGCGATAGAAACCGGCTTAAATAATACTGTTTTTACCTTAAAGCAACAGTATCTTTATCATCTTCGTGCTTAGAGATAATCTTAAAAGATTAGTCAATACGTCGGTCATTTAAAATAAAGAAAAAATAAGTATTATCTCATCATCACCATGTGTTAAAAATACCGTCGGCGATAGTCCAAAACCGCGTAACTAGCATTGGATAATACCGCGTATCTACAGTACATTTTTTTTACTGGAGAAGTTAAAAACTTTATATATTTTTTATTGCTACAGGTTTTGGGTTCATTTTAGTATAAAGAGTAATATTTATGTTTTTTGTAATGTCAGCAATAGATATTTGGTGTTAAAATTATCAATATTCAAATATAGTAGCCAATGCTAGTTACGCGGATTTGCACTATCCCCGACGATAAGCTACTTTTAAAATAAAAAATTTAAATCAGTTTTTTTGAAAATACTTGGAAATATTTTTGGGCGATTTGTCGCAACTGATGCAATTCTAATAATTTGCACAAAATTTGACAACCTGTAATCACCGTGTAAAAAAAAATTGTTACAGTGTGCTCTGAATAATTTCTTGAAAAATCTAGATTAGTGGTATTCTTTAGAACAAAAATGATCCAACGAAAAATAAATAAAGTTATAAAACTAAACAACATGGTAAAAATTAGTATTAAGTAATGCGTATTAAGTTTTGTGCTCCCAGCTGCTTAGAGATGTCAAGAACGTGTTGATCGTCAGCCTATTAAAAATGCATGCCGAAAATTTATGAACTTCCATTGTCGCTGCCTTAATTAGTAAATGCATTATAGACTTAAATAAAATAAAAATTAGGCATGTAACTTTGTTCTTTCTATCGTTTGTTGTATTCGAGGATGTTTATCTTTAAAAAATATTTTTTAATTATTTTGTTTATAAATATATTTAGAAATTAATAAGTATAAAAAAATAAGTTTTAAAAAATGGCGCTTTATCGAATCAGCTCAAGTTTTCTTATTTTAAAAAACGATTGAATTACTTTTAAACATTAAGTGCAATTAAAACACGATTGAAATGCGATTGAACACGGTTTAACGGCATGCTGTGTTTATTATGAGATTATAAAATAACCTACTTTGTCCTTAAAAAACAAATAAATGTTTAGCTTGAAAATAATTATGTTTTTAGTTAAATGCTTGGAATATAATTCTTGCTTTTAATACCTTATTAGTCCTCTAGCTTGTATACATTGTACAATATTTCCAAAGAATACACGTTTGCTTGGTTTAACTCTATTTAAAATTATGAACTAAAAAAAGCTTCTTAAAGGTAAATTTTCTTTAAAAAACTGATAGATATTTTTTTTATTGATATGCGGCGTAGATGTTAGGTTGAAAGATTCAATTATTTCTTAATTTTGCTTCAACTTGACGAAACTTTAAATTCTATAGATCGACATAATTTAAAAAGCAAACAAACGAAGGAAGCTAAAAAAAATAGAAACACTCTAAAAAATTTTGGTTTGTTTTCCGAAAACAGTTTTTTCGGCTGATATGAAAGAATAATTAATATAAACAGTACTTTTTTTTTTCGAATAAATGTCAAATTAAACATTAAAAACATTTTAACAAAAAATATTTTAAATAAAGTTTAGTATCAATGAGTCGATATAAATTTTAGTTACTTTAAACTTAGCTATAAAAATAAATTAATAGAATGTAAGTCGCTCTTCGCTAATTCCACTTAAAGTGGGTTGAACTACACCCCAGGGAGTATTTACATTTTAAAGTCAGATATAAGCTTTAGGGATTAAACTTCGTAAGTTTAAAATTAATTTTTAGATATGTTGTACTATTTTATAATTTTAAAAATTCTATATAATATACTTCGGTAAAAATAAATTTTCTATTTAAACAAATAGTTAAGCAACTAAGACAAAAAACTTTTTCATTTCAACCTGTTACAATTTTTCATTACGTCTTTAAGTTTGCTAGAAATGAAAGTAGACTTAAAAAAAAATTAATATTTTATTAGTGCATTTTACTTTTTCGAAATTATATTAAATTAAATATTAAAAAAAAAAGGAACTAAAATAAAACTAGTGATATAATGAGTTAACAAAAAATGTGTCTCGTTCTTTGCCAATTCTTCTTAAAGTGGGATGAACCCAGAATTTTACATTTTTAAGTTACAAAAACAGAAACAAGTTGAAGAGATGAAATCCTGTAAGTTCAAAAAAAAATTTTTCTCTATATATGTATATATATATATATATATATATATATATATATATATATATATATATATATATATATATATATATATATATATATATATATATATATATATATATATATATATATGCTATATGTGTATGACAACATTTTTGAACTTAGGCGCGGGAGTTATTTAGAGTAGGAGTGTTAAAATTTTATAATATAGGGATGTTAATGTTTTAAAATGAAATAATGGTTTCATAATTCAAGATTTATAGTTAAATTTGTCCAAAAACATTTTGTTCTGTCTTTACTTTGGCTACAATAGTCATTAGCTACATTTATGATGTTTAGTTCGTCAGTTTTTTTATCGTATATATCTAACAAACATACTTCAATTTATCCGTGTCTGGTTCATAGTGTTTCTCAACCAGAATGTGCTTTAAGCTTTTTAGTAGCGTTTGTTATTGCTATAAGAAAGATAAGCTTATTAAGTTTTTTAATTTATAAGAATGATTTCTTTTCAACTTTATTTGCTTTTTTTTAAAATAAATAAGCGCAGAAGAAAAATTTTGTCTGTGTTTTAACTCTCTTTTTATTGTTTAGTATCTCTTAACTTATTTAATGGTTACTTGCAGCTTTTTTTCGTTAGATAATATATGCATATATAATATTTATTAACGAAACAATTTTTTATTTGCTGAACAAAGTATATACTTTTCCATGGTTATGTTATTTTATTATTATGTGTTAGCTAGTTGAGACCTAAAAAGAATATATCTGCTAACGGCTTGTCTAAATATCATGATTTAAAGTACGCTAAAACTGATATTTTGTTATTTTCAATCTTAATTTTTATCCAAATTCAATCTTTTGTAGTTTATAACTTTTTTAAATTATAAATCTTTATTTAGTAAAGCATCTCAAAATAGAAAAAAAAATAGACTTATTAGCTGTTTATAAATTGTTTTTAATAGTAACCTCCTCTTTGTTATTTTTATAATATGTTGTCATGATTTAAGCTAGAAACTTTATTCCAATTTTTTATAATATTCATTGTTTTCTAGATATTGGATTTCAAAGTTGGAATAAATATTTAGATATATTGACTAAATGTTGTCAAAAGCATTTTTAAAATTGAAAATAGAACAAAGTATATATATTTTTTAGTGAAAATTTCACTTGATTATAGTTTATTGAATAGTTCAAAACTTGTCTAATTGATATCATGATACGAATGATAAATTTCATATGTGCAATTTCAAACTTTTGAAATATAAAACTCGTTTCACAATTCTACAGCTACTGTAATGATATGAGTTATAAGCATTTTATTTTCACAGTGATTTCATTCAATTCCAAACTATTATTGTTAATATACTGTAAATAGATACAAAGACTAATTGTATTTTAAGATTTAAACATCAGTTATTCTATAACCATTAATTTTTACAACGTTTTTATGCAGAACATTATTTCAAATATTATTGATTATGCTACCTCATCTTAAAGAATTAGAACCAAAGTTAGTTTTTTGAGTTTGTTATGAATGTTGGTGATAATAAAGAATATTATTTATTAAATATTTTAAAAGAAAAAAAATTCTCAATAGGGTTATTTCTATTAGCAAATGTGTTAACTTCGTTTTCATTTGTAAATTTTTCCCTTTTTTGACATTTTTACAGTTAAATCAAGTTCATTCAAAATTAAGTTTATTATATTTGTGATATATTTATGACGAGATGACCCAAAATCTAAAATTATTTTTACTACTAAGTTACGTTTTAATAAGAAATTTAATTTAATAAGTTATATTAAGAGTTCGTTGAGTATTTCCAAATTTTTCACCTACATATCACATCAACATATCTCTAAGTTAAAAAGCATTTTCTTCAACGGAGAATAACAGTTTAAACAAGTATTTAGTTTACAAATAAAATACGTATATTAAAAATAAACTGAAACTTAAAAAATTTCTCAAAACCTTTAGCACTAGACTGGAAAAATCCTTTAAATAATAAACTTTCTTGTTCTAACCCGTTTGGTTAGTTTCTTATTAGGAAAAAAAAAACAGAAAGAATTTATATAGTAAATATTATTTATAAACAATATTTATAGAACAATATTTTGACTTTGTTAAATCATTTATTGCTTGTTTTTTAAACCTTTTTACTTAAAAGCTGAATAACCTCTTTTGAATATTGTTCTTTCATTATCAAATCATTATTGAACCAATTTTTAAAACATTAAGACGTATTCCAATACGAGACCAATTAGACTCCCGTCCCATTTAAACTCCATCTACTCTAACCAAAAATATCATACTTTCTAATACTTTTCTCCAGTTATTTGTTTTACAGTTCAAAAGTTTTCACCAAAAACAATAGAAGTATTTTTAGGGACGTGGAATACATCACCATAGCCGTTTTAAAATTCCTTCATTGGTCAGTTTGCGTTTTTAATGTTATTTTAAAAATTGATTTCTAATTTTATCTTTTGGATATTTAGAATCTAACTATTAAAATACCGTTGTCTTTTACCAGAACATTTCCTCTTATTCACTCAAGTTTACAAGAAGGATCTTCAATTTCTTGCAGAGCCGAGCTTCTGCTATTTCAAATGCATTATCACTTCTAACTTGTCATTTGTCAAAAACATTGTATGATATTTTTCAGTGTTACTTTGTTAGAAACTAATTTATTTAACAATTTTATCTATTTATCAATATTTCTTTTTTTGAAAATATTTCCTGTCTAAGAATACAATGTTTCATTTTTATTTTTTAGAAAATAGACAAACATACAGTTTAAACTAAACAAGAATTTTTATCTCACCAAAAAGCTTATTCATTTGTGTGGTTACAATGCATTTATATTTTTTTAAGCAACTCCGAAGCTTTCTCAGCAAGTCTAAATTACATATTTTAATTTTATTGAAGCAATTAAACTTTTATTTATAAAAGTAAAGATTTTTTTTCAAAAAGAATGCTATTTATAGATCGCGGCAGTTTTGGATATAATCACTTATAAAAAATCAAAATTATTTTTTAATTATTATTATTATTATTATTATTATTATTATTATTATTATTATTCAGTGATCAAAAATAAACAAATACAATATATCTGTTAAAAGTTTGATGAAGAGGTGCTTCACCAGGCCCCTCTAAGCTGACGAAAATAAAAAACACAGAAGCTACAGACAAGCAGCTATTGTGTCTCTAAAAGTTACTTTGTTATACTGTTTTTAAAAGCATGGATAGATGGAGCATTCACTACTGCTTGGGGAAGCGCATTCCATGGGACAACAACTCTATTTGAAAAAAAGTTTTGTCGTTATTAATATTTTTATTATTAATTATTATTATTATTATTTTTTTTCAATTTTGTTTTTGTTTTTTATTTATATAAGAATGCCGGCTATTTGTTCAACCGCATGTTTAGTTCCACCATTCCTCTTGGCAGACGCCACAAGTCATAATATAAGCGATTCTCCTATCACATTTTTTTGAAAATTTCCCCGCAGAAAATTACGTTGAACATGTACAAATAGCCTTAAATAAGTAAGTTAATTATTTGGCCACACATGCGCATAGTTTTTTAGTTGTTTTTTTTTTGATTTTTTTTGACTTAAGTTGTAAATGCACAAACAGAAAATACAATCAGTGTGACAACTGTTTTTTTTGGTTAGTAACATAAATTAATCTAACTAGCTCTGTCGTGGTAATTTAAAAAGCAGCAAAAAAATTATGATAAAAATTGTGATTTGAAATCTGTTTGGACAGAAATGTATCAGCATGCTTTTATTCTAAGTACCAGTAGTTTTGTTAAAAGTCAAATCTCGGACGCATTTTCAAAAAAAGTTGCCTTTTTAACCACAGATTACTTTTACTAATGCCTCATACTTCATCATAAAACAATAATTTAAGTGGTTGTTCGTTGCAGTCGCGCAATTAGGATTTCTGAAAGGGGTTTCCAATTTTATGAATCATTGGTTTTTACTTTGAAACCCAAAGCGTGCATAAAATTTAATTTTTTTAACAATTTAAAAAGGAGTTTCCGGAGTTTCTCGTTCACTCATTGCCTTTTCAATTATGCAAACATTGCATAAAAAAAAAGTTATTTTATGACAAATTTTCAACTTCTACTAGAGAGCCAAAATTAAGGAATAAAATATTAAATAAAATATTAAATAATAAATAAAATATTAAATAAGAAACTTAAAACAATTGAGTTTAAAAAAAAATTATAGCAAAAACTATTGGCGAACGACGTAGTCCTCATCTGTTTCTGAAGTATTAATGGTTGCTACTGAAAAACCCAACAAATAGAGGTTTGTCATTTTCAGCTTGATGGTCTTAGAAAGAATCACGTCACTTATTATTGCTTTAATATTTGTTTCATAAAAACATATGATTTATAAAAATTCACTAGATGCTTCAAGGTATATGCTGTTGTAAAAGGAAAATTTCAGGATTCAAGTGCAAATACACATGCATGCTTTTTAATAATATAGTTTTTATTATACTCGATATTTTTTTTGTACCTTATTTTTCTTAACCAATACAAAAATAAAAAGTTAGAGTAGGGCATTAGGACAAATGATTTTTATTTATAAAGTCTTTAGAAAACGTTTCATATTATTTTGCGTTATGTTTTAATAACTAAGTTATTTTATATTTGCATTATAGATTAAGGAGCTTGGTGATAAGACAGTTTATATTTTATTTTGCCCTTCCTATTTGCATTTATATTATGTTTTACGACGTGAATAAATTTACACATAAATATAATAGTATTATATTTATGTTTGCTTCGACAAATCAAAATCTATTACAAACGTTTCATTCCAAACTATGCTTAGATACCATTGATAATTTTGTGGAAGGAGGAGTAGATTCAAACCAACTTTTTATTTTGTTCTTAGTTCTTAAAGTGTATAGTTAGTGATTAAATTCAACTTATCTAACCTGTCCCTTTAGTTAAAATGATCTAACCTGTCCCTTTAGTTAAAATGTCCAATTCTTGTGAAGAAAAAGATGTTTAAAAATTAAACATTTTTTTCTTCAACAAGAATCTTTATTATAACATTAAGTTTATGTTATATTATTCTAATATTTTAATTTTTATTACATTATATTATTATTCCTATACTTATAGATTGTTTTATTAGAAAATGAGTTCTATAGCAAGATTTGCAAATATAGCCAAAGTTTCGAGTAGACATGTTGATGATGTTTCGAAAAAAGAATCCGAACCGTTGATTGAAAAAAAAGACGAAGAAATTGATATTTTGCTAAAAAATAAGGATGCCATCTTTAATAATGAAACAAAACATGAAAATAAAAAATCCTTCAAAAGGTGGTCGCTGTTAAAAGAACATCCAAACTATTCACAGATTATAAATGAGGTTGTTGAGGTGCCCGACTTTCAAGAGACTGACACTAACAAAAAGCTCATTTCTCAGGGAACCGACACTAAAGAAGTTCCGAATTTTCAAGAGACTTCTACTAAAGAAATAACCAATTTTCAAGGAACTGAATCTAAAAATGATGAGGCATCAGACAAAATAGTTTTACCTGCTGATAATCAATCTGTCGATTCAGAGGTAACGCTAAATTTAAGTGGAAATACAAAATGGGCAGCGTTAACAAAGAAAAATGCTAAAAAAATTATTTTGGAATCTGACAAACTTAAACAACCCGTATTGAGTTTAAGTAGTGACTCGACTTCACAAACTGATAATAAAATTTTAAATAATAAAAATTCATTAGGAAAAAGTAAATGGAATGCTGTAAGGGAGCGTACTAACTCCATAAAAAATACTAAAGATGATGTGAATTCAAACGAAAAACCGTCTTTACCAAAACTGTTACAAGTTGTTAACACTGCCACAGCAACTAAAACAGCTGCATCAAAGTTTTTAGAAGCATCTCAAATGAGAGTTAATCTGAAAGCAAGAATGCGTAAAATAGTTCAAGAAAGGTTGACAGTAAAACAAATATTTAAACGATACGTTGAAAGTTCAACGCTTCATGGTTTTTGTTACGTTTGTGGCGATACCTTTTTAGTAAGAAGAGTATTATGGGCTCTTTTAATGATACTAGGAGCAATATATTTTATTATTAAACTTAGATATGGAATTGAGGAATATTTAAACTATCCATTTAGTACATTGTCAACTGTTGATTACGTTCACGAATTGTTTTTTCCAGCAATGAGCCTTTGCGCAACAAACAGTTACCTTGCTTCAATGGTTTCTAAAAATCAGTTAAAGTTACTTTACGATGAAGGAAGACTACCTTTAGATAACAATCAAACTAACCCCTCTTACAATATGTCAGGAAACGAATTAGTAAAAGCAATTCAAGAAAGCTCATTATCAATAGAGTCAATGTTAGCATTTTGTGATTGGATTCAACAAGATACTAACAACCCTGATATACCGCCAAATCCCTGTGGTCCTCAAAACTTTACCACCTATCTAAACTACAAAGGTGAGCAATGTTACACGCTTAACTCTGGATTAGAAGGACATAAACTACTTAAAGTTGATACTGTCGGCTTAACATATGGTTACGAGCTAATTTTTGATTTACAAACAAACAAAGTTATTAAAAACAATCAGTTTTCAGGTATGAGAGTAGTAATACATAATCAAGATGTTCCACCTCAATTAGCTGACGGGTTTATAATTCCCCCTGGCTTTAAAACATTTGTTAAAATGGGAACCGTACAGGTTACATATAGACCTATATACTTTCTTAGTTTTTTTAAAATAGTTTTGTACATTATTGGTGACAGTTTAAACCACAAAACTTTTTTTAAATTTAGTCTAAAAGTCTTCCTCCACCTTACTCAACAGAATGCGGAACAAAAAAACTGAAGTACTACAATACATACAGTCAGAGATTTTGCCTTCTTGAAACTCTTACAGATTTTACTGGAAAGTTATGTGGATGCAGAGACGTTTTTATGCCAGGTGCAAATTTATTTATAGTTTTATATTAAGCCACTTATGCATTAAAAATGTTTTTTAATATACTGAAAAAAGTGTTCAATTCAATTTAAAAACAAAAAAGTATTTTCATACTTTATTGTGAACCTACAAATTTTTAATTTTATAGATGAGTTTCAAATGTTTACATTCTCGTTTTCAAAAAAAGATGCGCGCGCAAACTTGTAGGTAGAAAAACAAATAATCGGAAATTTTCAAGTAAAAACATTGAGACATTTATGTTAAATTTATTCACTGATTGTTATTTATTCACTGATTCACTAATTTAACAAGAAATAAATTATGCCAACCAGTTGTTGTGCAATTGGTTGTTCAAACAAATTTAAAAAAGAATGTGGATTAAAATTTTATAAATTTCCATCAGGAAAAACGCCTTTTGAGAAAAGAAGGCGAATAGACTGGATTAAAGCTATTAATCGTAAGGATTGGGACAGTTGTGAAAGTGAAAAGATTAGTAAAGAACGAGTATGCAGTGCACATTTTGTATCAGGTATGTTCTTTTAATGAATGAGGTTAGCTAATAAAACTATATACGTAGTAATACGTTTAATAAGATTCTTTAAATTAGTAATTTATAATATTTGGTACATTTATTAATTCAATTAAATATTATATTTTATTATAATATTTAATTAAATTAATATTTAATTAAATATTATAATTGTTATATTTTAGGGAAACGTTCTGATGACCCATCTGACGTTGACTGGAGTCCATCTGTATTTAATCACCTTGGATATGCTACGATTTCTAGTTTGATTAAAAAAATTAAGAGAAAAGATTGCTATAAAGCTTTATGTAAAAAACGATCTTTCAAAAAATCAATACTGCCATCTAGCCAATCAAATGATATAGAGCTTGATAACTATAAAGATAATTTAAATAATGACATAAATCCACCAAATGACAAGTCAGCTATTTCTAAATTTTGTCAGCATGATACTTATAAAGTAGAAGTGGAAACTCTTAACTTTCAGTTAATGCAATACAGAAATGAATTGATCGAGAAATCTAATGAAATTATTGAACTTAAAAAAAAGAATGCCAGACTAGACTATAATAAATATATTTCATACCAAAACCTAACAGATGAACAAATGAATTTTTTTTCAGGCTTGTCTCGAACTACGTTTATGTGGCTCTTTGAAAGAGTTAAAAATTATATTAAAAAAGTTCACTCAAGGTTATTGTTGGAGGACCATCTCTTAATTGTACTCATAAAACTAAAATTAGGTCTATTAAATAAAGATATTGCTTTTCGATACTAAGCCCAGCAGTAGTTTCAAAAATTTTCAGAACAATAATACCAATTTTTTCTGCTAGAGTTGTTAATCTCATTGTTTGGCCAGACCGTGGAATAATAAGGAGTAACCTTCCTATATGTTTTAAAAAAAAGTTCAAAGATTGTGTTTGTATTATTAATTGTACTGAAATATTTATTGAAAGGCCAAAAAATTTAACTTCACGATCACAAACTTGGTCTAATTACAAACATAACAATACCATTAAATATCTTATTGATATTACTCCAGCTGGGGCAGTTAGTTTTTTATCTCCTGGCTGGGGTAGTCGTGTTTCAGACAAACAAATAACATTTGAGTCAAACTTTTGTCAGAAGCTTTATCCTGGTGACTATGTTCTTGCTGACAGAGGATTCAATATTAAAGATGAACTAAATGCTGTTGGGGCAACGTTAAAAGTTCCAGCATTTACGAAAGGTAGACAACAATTATCTGGATGGGAAGTGGATACATCTAGACAGATATCTAATGTTCGCATACATGTAGAAAGAGTGATTGGTAAAATAAAAAAGTTTCATATTATTCATATGACTGTGCCAATCATCCAAGTGGATTTGTTAGATGATATTATGTTTATTATTTGTGCTCTTGTAAATCTCAATATGAGTGTAGTTACTTAATTAATGTAAATGTAAAAATAAATTTACAGAGAAGCAATTTTTACAGTTTTAAAATCTAAATACATATTAAAGGAAAGTAATATTTGTTCTGGTTTATTGCTTGGTTTTACATTCTTTGCATAACCAATTAGTAGTTTTTGGAGCTCTTTTCAGTCCAACACAAGCGTAATGAAACCATTCATATTTACAGTTGGTAAAATTGCTTGGTATCATTTTTCCAAAACTTGGTCTTTGGCATATACAGTAAATTTTCCTACTATTTATTGTCAATTTATCATTACGACGTGTTACAAGCTCTGGCAATAAAATGTTTTTGAAATACATAAAAAACTTATCAATCATTTTGAGAATAAGATCTGTATCTTTTTCAATTGTTAAAATAAAACTTTGTTCACCTTTAACTGCAGGGGAGAATACCAGAAAATCAGCCTCAGAACAGAGACATAGTAATATTTGTGATCCTTTTTTATAATGAGATCTTTATTGATTGGAAAATCTCTATCTTCTTCCCATCCTTCAAAGCCATTTTGATATTTATAAGGACATTTGATCTCTAAAATTTTAGTTTGATGACAACTGCATCTAATCAATGCATCTGGAGAAGCTCCAATGAAGGGGTATTGTTCTCTCACATGAAAACCAGTATCTAAAAATTGGAAATTTATATGACTATATTTTACTTTTTCAATATAATTTTTTTGTGCAACATGTTCCGTTTCTGTTCCATATTGTGTGAATTTATTAACAGAATTTTTTGCATAATGCATAATTTTTTTGACCAATGATTCACTTGACATATAGTTTGTGTTAGAATTGTATACTTCTTTTGCATTTGAAGCTGTTATACGCTTTGCACGGTGCATCATCCAAACAGGATTCAATGATTGTATTTTTGTTTGGTTGCATAAGTTATTATACTGCCTTTGATTATTATCATTTTTATAATCGTTATATATACTTTCGCAAAAAATGATCAACTTATCCTCAGATAAATTTATACTTGTTGGATCATATATTGATGTGAGAGTTTCAGGAAGTGTTGTCTCTTCTGTCTCAGATGAAGTTTCAGTAGCACTAGAGTCATATTCAACAGACATAAATTCTGTAAGATTAATACTTGTAAAAATTGCAGATTTTGGGTTAATTTTAAAAGGTTTTTCATCTCTTGAGCTGTTAACCGGTGCTCACCATCCATTGGATTATTGTTGGAAAAGTATTTTTTTAAAGGTAGTTTTGCAACCAAATCTTTTTGTAAAAGATTTTTTTGAGGTCGCTGAAAATTTATGAGCTGCAATGGAGCAGGTTGAACAGATTTTTTGCATTTCTTCCAAGTACACAAGATACTTATAGGAGGTGTTTCGTGTAATTTTAAACGTGAAGCTGCTTCTAATTTAAATAATAATGCTGCTACATGGCTACAAGCTGATCCTAGTCCAGCCATACGTAAACAATTAGAAGTTAGCACCCAACCAAGTTCTTTCTCAAGACAAGTCCATACATCATACATATTTTTGTTGTTTTGTCTTTGACTTGGCAAGAACTATTACAAAAAGATTATTTCTATATAAAAATTATTATTTATTCGTCTCTAGTAAAAATTTATTTTTTAATTATATATTAAAAATAACCTTTGATTTTATAAAACAGAATTTGCTCCTATTCGATATTTTATTATAAAAACATTCTTGAACATGACCACAAGTGAAGTAATCATATGCTTCGAAGGATTTATAGGCTCTGATTGATTCCTTCGTGTATATGCTAGGTGTATCGATTAAATATTGAGTAACGTCTTGCCATGTAATGTTTGGCAAATGATTGAGATCGTTGCTCCATTCTTTTGGTTCAATTATAAACGGATTCGGTAAAACTTCCCCATTTTTAAGAGTTAACTTCTTTGTGTAGTCTATTGCTTCTTCTAATTTTAGACTTTTAAAATATTCACTCATCATATTGTTAATTATTTTGAAAAGTTAAGTGTTATTGTTGACTTCCAAAAACAGAATAAACTTAACTATTTTGAAAAGTTAAGTGTTATTGTTGACTTCCAAAAACAGAATAAACTTAACTATTTTGAAAAGTTAAGTGTTATTGTTGACTTCCAAAAACAGAATAAACTTAACTATTTTGAAAAGTTAAGTGTTATTGTTGACTTCCAAAAACAGAAAAAACTTATAAGAAAAATCGCAAGAGCAACAGCTATTTTTAAACTCAAAATGAGTTTAAAATTTGAACAAGAACATCTGTTTTAAAATTTTTTAAACAAAAGTTTTTAATAACAATAAAAATTTTATCACTAAAATTTATATGAAATATTTGTAATTAATTTTAATTATTATTTTTTTAATAATTTTTTAAAGAAAAAATTAATTTTAGGGTACAAATATTGATTTTAGGGTAGAAAAGAAATACAAGAAACACAATTAAGTTCTTGCGTTTTTATTTTTTCTACCTGCAAGTATGCGCGCGCATGTTGTTTACAAACAGACGTGACGTCGCACGGAAACTCATCTATAAGTTTTAATTTTAAACAAATATTATTAATCGAACTTTTTGAATGTATATATATATATATATATATATATATATATATATATATATATATATATATATATATATATATATATATATATATATATATATATATATATATATATATATATATATATATGGTCATATTTTTTTAACGTTAAAATATTTTACTATGAAATTAAAAATTTATCGATGAATGTAAGTCTAGTTGAAAATATTTCATCAACTTGTTGCTCTCAGGTTTGGGGCAAGAAAAAGGAGGGGGGGCTAAAAATTTTAGGTTTTTTTGTTCCCAGGCTCCAATCATCGTATTTTTTGCAAAGCATCCTTATTTGACATAAGTATAAACATAAATGTTTAAAGTTTGCTCTGTCTGTCTGGAAGTTATGTTTGGAGTTTGCTGGAAAAATGCTGGCGCCACCCTTGTATATATATATATATATATATATATATATATATATATATATATACATATATATATATATATATATATATATATGTATATATATATATATATGTATATATATATATATATATATATATATATATATATATATATATATATATATATATATATATATATGTATATATATATATATATATATATATATATATATAATAAATTGCAATCGTTGCCAAGTTGACCGTTAATGATTGTGCTAATAAAATTTTATTTGCGCAATCGTTAACGAACACAGCACTAAATCCCTTGGAGATTAGTTATGCATGAATTAATTCTTCAACGAATCTATATAAAAACCATGCATTAGCAGTGGCGGATTAAGACTTCTTGGGGCCCGGGGCTGTTTTTGTTTTTGGAGGCCTTTTTATGGGCAGAGCCTAAAAATGACTTAAAAAAAAAAAGTTCTCTAAAATTTTTTAGGGCCCCTAAATTTGCAGGGCCCGGGGCTATAGTCCCCCCTAGCCCCCTTCTTAATCCGGCACTATACATTAGTTCACTTTGTTACTATATAAACATTTAACTTTTACATGTTTATAAATACAAATAAATTTATATGTACCGTAAAACCGACTAAGTTCGGTCTCCATGTAACTTCGGTCATTTAAGAAAAAATACAAAAAAAGCATGCAAAACTCAACTTTTAAAAACTTTTTTTCTCAAATATTTGTAACTAGTTCGTAAATATGAATCTATAAAAAATTAATAATATTTATATGCAACCTGCTGAAATAATTCTTTAGCAAAACAACAATTTGAAAAAATGAATACTGTTCAAATCTAAAATAAGCAAACAGTTAAAATAAATGAGCATATTTAATCTTGGTGTTATTAAGAATCACCAAATTAATAATATTTACAAAAAAAAAAAAAAATTAATTATTAAAAATTAACTATTTTTTTTTAATAAAATTAGTGAAATTTTTAAATACTCTAACTTCGGTCATTCACGGATAAACAACGAAGGAGACAATTAGCAGTAATATTGTGAAATATTGCAATATTTCAACACTTATCAATATTGATAAGTGTTGGGAATGTAAAGTTTACCGGTAATTTTACCTCTAAATTTGCTAGTAAATTTTGACATTTTTATAATCGATACACACCATAGTATTTTATTTGAATAAAAAATTTGTTCATAATTATTACGGTTCTTTGAGTTCTAAAAAATATCAAGCTTGTGACATTTTTTTTGGAGATAAAATTAATGCTCAACGACAATTATGGATGCGATACGAACCCTGTGACGATTGTTTGTGTGGATCTTGCTGTTCTGATATTGTCAACGATACCTGCAAGAATTGCCAGTAAATATACAAAGCTCATTTCAAGCAAAGTGGTGTTTTTTTGTTAATTGAAAAAAGTCTTTTTAAACTAACTGAAAATATATTTTTAATTGTATTAATTGGGGGCGTAGCAAATGTGATAATGTCTTAAAATAGTTGACTAATTACAATAAAAATTTAAAATACTACTACTTATATTCAAAGAGGTGCCCCAAAAGACTTTTTTTTTAGCCCGGGCCGACGCCCTCCTTAGTTACTGGTATTACCTGAATTTATTTCGTAATTTTACAATATAAAAAAAATTTAAAAAATAGTTTTCTTTAAAGTTTGTGATACGATATTAGTATTTATATAGTGGTCGAGCTTATAAGATGGTATTGAAAGTTCGGTCAAAGTAGATGTTTTCATTTTAAATACTAGTTTTTATTTTTCATGTTTTTATTTTTACAATATCAATTATCAATAAACTTTTATGTATGTTTCAGGAAAAAAAATTAAAAAATTTTATATTTATGCGTTATAAATAAATGTTCAAAGCTTAAGTGACCGAACTTGGGCGATTTTACGGTATACATTTTTTTACAATAAGTTTTCACGTGAGATTAGAAAATTAAAATAACATTGTTAAAATTCATAAGTAAAAATTAAAAACAAAGCCATATACGTGACATATAATTAATTAGCAGCGCCGTGGCTGCTAGATTTAAGGCCCCTCCAAAACATGTCATAAAGGCCCCAAAAGATTTTGCAATAGATATTTCAAAAAAAAAAATTAAAAAAAAAAAAAAATAATAATAATAGGAATAATATATGTATATATATATATATATATATATATATATATATATATATATATATATATATATATATATATATATATATATATACATATATATATATATATATATATATATATATTCATTTTATATATATATATATATATATATTATATATATTCCTTAACAATGTTATTTTAATTTTCTAATCTCACGTGAAAACTTATTGTAAAAAAATGTATACCGTAAGGAATATATATAATATATATATATATATATTATATATATTCCTTTAATATAAAGGAATATATATATATATATATATACATATATTTATATATATATATATATATTTATGTATATATATATATATATATATATATATATATATATATACATATATATATATATATATATATATATATATATATATATATATATATATATATATATATATATATATATATATATATATATATATATATATGTATGTATATATATATATATATATATATATATATATATATATATATATATATATATATATATATATATATATATATATATATATATATACATACATATATATATATATATATATATATATATATATATATATATATATATATATATATATATATATATATATATATATATATATATATATATATATATATATACATAAATATATATATATATATTCATTTTTATATATGTATATATATTCCTTTATACATATATATATATATATATATATATATATATATATATATATATATATATATATATATATATATATATATAAATGAATATATATACATATTCATTTATTCATATATTCACAGTATTCCGTTTACCTTTAAGATTTTTAAAATTTTTAATTTACGTCATTTTTTTAGAAAATGGACTTCCATTCTGTTCATTGAAAGAGTTATATTCTTGTATGTATCCAGCAAAAGGTACCTAATATTGTGCTGTGTACTAACTTTTTTTATTTAAACTTGTTTTTGAGTATACATTAACGCTGATTTGAAATTTAAGTTATGTTTTTGTGACATGTTTTAATGTTTTTGCATTAATCATTTTATTAGTTTTTATAAAAATAAGGTTTTTTATAGGCTTTTTTATTATATAATTAGAAAATAAAGGTCATCATGAAACTGTTTTTTCAGAATAAATATATAGTATGATGGTTTCTTCAAATCAATTTAATTCAAAATTATTCTGTTATATCTACATTACTAGTTTTGTAAAACTAATATAGAAATTGTATTTCAATATTCAACTTGCAGACCAAGGCAAAAGCTCCACATACTGTGTGCGTTAAAATATTGTCAACGTTAAAAGGTGCAATTTTTCCACTTTTTATATTATAAGACAAAGAGGTTTTTTTTGTCATACCACCGTACTAAGAAAATGTTATTATTAATGTTTTTTAAACTATAGTTTATAACTATAATTTAAAAAACATTAATAATAACATATGTATATATATATATATATATATATACATTAATAACATTATATATATAAATATATATATATATATATATATATATATATATATATATATATATATATATATATATATATATATATATATATTGTTCCTATTGTAAACAACTATAGTTAAACTATAGTCTAACTTTTAAATGAGGACCCTATAGGTTAATAGGGTTAAACTGACATTAAAAAATAACAACTACTAGTTAGATACACCGTGAACCAAGGCGGCCTTAGAGTAAATCTTTCGAATTTTCTTTAGAACATTTTTTTTTCCTTCCATTGTGAAGCACTCATTATAGCCTTGATCCAGCTGTTTATTACGAAGAAAACCAAATTTTGCAATGTTGAATGATACAATCAGATATCGTGGCAGCGCCCATATCTTTCAATGAAGAACTTTCAGAGAGCTCCTGACGAATCATAGCCTTCTCACTAGATGTATCAACAAACCGCACTCCCAATAACAATGCTCAATTCCTGAAATATAAGCTGCTTCATTGGTTATGATCGAGAATCCAACAGCAGTTTTGGCAGCTTATAAATTGTCTCTGTAGAGCTTGTTCAGACTAGTTAATTAAATAATTTTGTGTACGGTGTGGCGTGTAACGTACATTATTAGAAGTTGTATCAAAATGGGTTTTTTAAAGTTTTCTCACTCAATTCTTTATTCATAAAGTTGCTGGACGTTTCCTCTGTAATTATATTTTTCAGTTAAGGCCAAATCATTTGTTATAAAATAGTCTTTGGCACGTTCATTTAAATATTTACAATTTGTGAATGAATAGTTATGAAAGTGCCTTGTATTTCTTTTTAAACTAGTTGTAGAAATAGAACATAAAAAGTACATTCTAATTGATATAAATATGATATGTATTTTATGTTAACCAAAGGTTCCTGAGAAAACGTTTTTCAAAAAAAAAAGACTTTGATGGTACTTAAACGAGGAACCATCTAAATATTTTTAAATCATTACCTAACTTTAACTCTATTTTTACAATTAAAAAAAATATTACCTTTTATAAATATTTATATTATACTATTTAGTTTTTAGAGCATTATTACTTATATATTTAAATTTCAATTTATTACCACCTAACGCGTTACCATGTAACGCATTACCATGTAACGCGTTATCTTTAGAGTAAGTGCAGTCATCAAATAAATATTATAAATTTTTAATATTTCGAGTGCCCTTAATTTTAATTTATTTCTTAATATGCAAGAAAGCTTAATTGGAGGAAAGTTTTTAAAATAATTATAACAAACGTAAAAGTTCTTTCATTGTTGATCTTTTTGCATTTCATCATCTCCTAATTTTATAATTTCATAAAAAATTTTTGTGCATTATTCTTTTTTTGAACTAATTTTATTATTGTTCCATTATTTTGGTTGAAACAGTATCAATAATTCCCACAATTCTTTTACTTTGAGTTGTACTGAAACCGTTTTGTAGTAACAAATGTAATGGCACACAGACGGTTAACAAAAATTCAATTTCCAAATTTAGAAAATTCAGGCTTCTTGTTTCTCTTTCCTGAATCCTCCAGGTGGGAAATGAGTTAGCGACTAGCTAGCGACTAGCTAGCTCTATAGCGATATTCTAGCGATTTTTTTTTTCTTATTTTATTTTTTTGCAAATGTCTTTAACATCTTTAAAAATTCGATTTTTAGTGTTGAGTCTATTATAACTATGAAAATAATTGAACTTTAAACATTGCGATTTTGTAGCAATGTGTCGTAAACATATCGTAGCTTTGTAGCTAGCGACAAAATATCTACAAATCTATACCTGGTTGATAGCTACATATCAAAAATTTTAAGACAACGGTTTTATTACGATATGACGCTAGGTACAATAGCCAGTGGATCTTCAGCTTGTTAAGCTAGCTGTCCTCGTTGCCAAATCGCTGTCTTTATCTTTACAAAAATCGATAGCTTTTCGCTAACTTAAAAAAGCTAGCGATCCTCGTGGCCAAATCGCTGTCTTTATCGTAACGATTATAGCTAGCAATTCGCTAGCCGATTTCCCACCGGGCTTTAATGATAATAATTCATTATCAACCAAAATTAATCAAGTATAAAATAGAGAAGCAGAAAAAGAAATAATAAAAAGATTAAAAGTTTAGTTTAAAGTTTAAGAATCTTGTGTTCGCTTTTTTGTTTTTGTATTTAACTTGTTGCTTATAATTGTTTGACTTATCATGGTGTTATCCTCATAATTGTTTGACTTATCATGGTGTTATCCTTATAATTGTTTGACTTATCAGGTGTTATCCTTTTTTTATACATTTTTGCACTATCAATCTTTTTGTTTTTTCTGTTAATTTTGTATTAGTTGTTTTACATGATATTTTTTTATAGTATTTTATTATAATTAAGTGTTTGGTGTTAGATCTTTGATTAGATTTTCGTTTACTTGACACCATCCTTCTAAATTGAATAATCAAGCAAAAAAAGGCAACAATATTTCTGGTCTTGCTAGACCACTTTGCCAACCACCAGAGTTTTCCAAGCTAAACTTTAAAATGTCATCCTGAAAAAAAAAACATTTGACTACACAAACTTACTGCTATATTTTGCACAACAAACACTCCATTCAATCATCCATTTAATCTACCTGAAAGGAAAGGTAAAAATTGCACAACAAACACTCCATTCAATCATCCATTTAATCTACCTGAAAGGAAAGGTAAAAATTGGGCGAGCAATTGCAATCTAATAGTTAATAGTTTCAATGATGGTTTCAATTTTCTTTTCAATGATGGTTTTAATTTTCTTTTCAAGGAGCACGCAGGTGCTATGTCAATAACAGAGGTCGTAATGTTATTACATTCATTCATTGCCACGTACAAAATTCGAAAAGACTTGTACTTACGAATCAACGACAAAAAGTCATTTTGTCTTGCGAGATCAGGTGTACAGTCAGCCTATGTTTAGAAAATCAGTGCAAAACATCAAAAAACACATTATAAGCTTTGCAAGAGTAGAAGAGTAAGAGAGTCTACACAGGAATTTATAATTTTCCCATTAATCCAAGCATTTAACTTTGTAAAAAATAAAAGGAAAAGTTTGTGTAATGAAAAATTGAAATTGTAAAAAATCAAGTAGCTTGAAACCACTCTTAATGATTAATTCATAATTTATTATCCAAAAGACAGCATGCAGGATACCACCTATGCCGTTACTCACGTGCTTGACCCGTACTAAAAAGGTGGGTTTTACAATTCAAAACAAAATGTTGTAAAACGCACAGCCGAGTTGAGGAAGTTGATTCACCTTCTCTTCTTCACCTATTAAATTAAGAATCTAATGACTTTTACTTTTTATGCAAGTTTTGAAAACCTCAGACGCAGTCCCCTGGTTCAAGACCTATAAAAAGATATTTGACATTGGTGCTAAATTTGAACGTTTTCTGTCAGCTCCGATGGAAAAGTCATCAATCTAACTCATAATAGAAGAGCATGGAAAGTAACTATCCAAAGTTGACTTAAATTAAACCTCGTCTACCGAATTTAAACGAAAAGTAATACTCGGTAATCAGTTGAGTAGTATTTAGGTCAAAGACTAATATTCAAATTTTGGTCTTAAAGTTAAATAAAGTTACTCTTTTTCTATTTACTATTCGGTTTCTGAAAACATTTTTTGCTGTTGATTAGTGCCAGATTTGTAAAACGTGTTTTTAAGATTAGACAAATAAAAATACAGTGTATTTCTTTTTGGAATTAGAGCCGTCCTTAGAAAATGCCAGTCCTGGAGCAAAATATTTTTGCGAGGCCTTTTTGAAAGTTGTCATTTTAAGCACTTTGACAAAGAAAGTCAGTAAAATATAGAATTTTAACGTATAGAATTTTACTTAGTCAGTAAAATTCTATACGCTGTAAATGCGTTCGAAAATAGATTTTGAATCTGGTGAATAAATCTCAAAATTCTCGCAGCTGTTTCCACCTTAGTTGGTTGAAGTTCTCGAAGAATCTTATGTTCAGAAAAAAGGTCATTTCCACAAACATCCTTTTCTTCTCCAAAACAAGAGGTCTTCTTTTACAGTTTAGAATTTTTCAACACGATACAAAAGTTTCGCTCTTAAGTGAAGTTACATTCACATTAATTTTTTAAAATCGTATGATCAAGGATAACTGCTTCTTCTGACTAAGATCCGGTGTGCAGCCTATTTCTTTTTTAATTTATTTTTATTTAACTTTTTTTATTACTGTTATTTTTACTTATGTTACTTTTGAATTTTATTTTATATTCTTTCATTTAATTCATTTTCTTATGTTTTTTTTTTAAAATATTTTGTTTTTCGTCTTTTTTATTTTTGAAAAACAAAATGAAAATTTTGCCTGATCTATGAATAAGATGTTTTGCATTATTTTGTTCGCTATTATCACGTACGAAGGAGAATCTTGTTGATATGTTTTTAATTAATAAATAATTACGCGGATAATTAGATATTTTTGAAACGTATGTTACTATTACATTAATTTCATTTAACCAAAACTTTTTTTTATTTTTTAACGACAGTAACACCTTTTACTTATTTTTTAACAAGATAAAGGCGTTGCTGCCCGAGGCTATACTCTCGTTAACAATAAATAAAAGTTTTGAGGCCTTCCTAAGCGCGAGGCCTGGAGCGGCTGCTCCACTAGCGCAACCCTAAGGACGGTTTTGTTTGTAGTTCCTATGATTCGGAAAGAACACTTAACGACATGTAACGACATCTTGTTGTATTTATTTTTTTAATACTACTGCTATTTCCAAAAAAAAGACGCAAAAAAAATTGATCATTTTAACATTTTTTTAAAAAAGATGCAAAAAATTGATCATTTCTTCTGTTATTAGACTAATTCAAAAATCTGAAGAAATTTCAATTTTTAAATGTTAATTTTGTCAGAAAATGAATAAAACATACTTTATACAGAAACCTAAGATTTGGAAGAAATTACCTATAATATTAAACTATTAAAATTGCTTCAGTGTTTTTAGTCAAATAGTAACTTAGTGTATGATTTCAGACTTTCTTAGAAAGCAACAGAGATACTTCACTTTGAATCAAAAGAAAGAAACCTTCTAGACAACTTTGCAAAGATTTTATATTTTAGAACAATTGAGGACATCTTTATAAATTTTTTCAATTTCTTTATATTCGGTTATAATACATCAGGTTATCACTGTTCGGTATTTTTGTATATAATTCAACCAAATGAAGACTGTTGATAGTTCAAATTGAAGCCTAAAATGTGTCCTTTTGGTTCCACCAATACCTTAAAAAAGATTGTTATCAAGGACTTTGAGACAAACTCATGATGGTAGACTACTATCAATCAAGATGATTCTGGAAAAGTTAAAAAACAAAAGAGCTACAAGCAAAAGTTTTTTTCCGATTGAGTATTTATGAGTAAACAATATTGTCTGCAATTCCTTTTAAAACTAAAGGTTAAATTAATTTTTTTATAAATTGTTTAAGAATGATAGTATGATATTTATGCTATAAATTGTTTATTTTAGACATTATAATTGACTTAGTGTTTATTTTTTAAAAATAAAATCTTAAAAAACATACTCAAGCATTTCCCAATGAATTTAAAAAACCTGCTATTTAAAAATACCTAAAAAACTTGTTAACTAATTAAAAAAAAAAAAAAAAAATTATTGCCACAAAATCTGCAGCTTGCCTTATAAATTCGTAGTCAGATTTGAATTCAACATACCAAAATTATGTAAAACTAATGTGATAAATATTTTGTTGAGGTCCTCGATATTTGATATTTGCCAGCTATATTTCAAAACTTGCCAACTGAAATGCTAAATGTACTAACTTAAATGCATATATAACAGTTTTAAGGGAAAGCCCTATACACGCCTGTTTGGGACGGCCCTGACCATTGTGATTTCGTTTTGAAACTTTTTGTGTGTATGTGCGTATTTTCTTGTAAATAAAAAAATAATTTATAACTGTAATTTATAAAAAAAGTATTTATATGACTGGAGCTAGAAGACGACAAACTTAGTCTTATAACCAAGCCCTAAAAAATGCCCCCCCCCCCTCCTTTAAAAAAAATCTATCTATATATATATATATATATATATATATATATATATATATATATATATCCGGAACTTTTATAGGAACATCTGGGTTTTTATGAAGACGATGGAAAAAATGTAATTAGTTTTAATGATGTCTAAAGACAATTTGTTCGATTTAAACCATTGGGATAATTTATCAAGTTCTTTATTTACTGTTTGAAATAATTTACTGATATCTTCACTGGAATGAAACAAGTTGCTGTCATACGCGAACAAAATTAAACTTAAAATTTTAGAAAATTTATTTTAATCATTTATATAAATGAGAAATAAAAGTGGTCTTTAAATATTCATAGAAACTTCTTTTTTGCCAACCATTTTGAAATTCCATCACAAACAATCTTTTTATATTTCTATCATAAAAACTCACTTGGTTAGGGAAAATAAGGTTAAGTAGTGAAAACAGGAGCCTTTTTATACATACTAATTGTTATTATACATATTAATTTTTCTTATACATACTAATTGTTTTTAAAAAATTTATTTTGCAATAAACTTCCCATGGTTAAAAATTCAATTTGTTATTTTAAAATTATTTTGTATTAATTTTAGAATCATTTTCTGAATTTACCATGCGTAAAGAATGCCCTGCAGATTGCGAAGAGCGTACATATCCGTATGAGCTATCAGAAGCTAGATTTATACATAACCCTCCAATAGGTTTATCAATTCAAGGTTTAGCAAATTTGCAACACAAAAAACATTTAGAGGAAGAATTATACTTATCAAAGTTAGCTCAAAGCATGACATCCGAGGAACTTGATGCATATGTCGAGTAATTTTTAATTTTTTTTAAAGTATATAAATACAATTAATATAAATAAAACAATAAATCAAGATATGTTTAAGCTTAAAATGATAAGATCTTTTAGTTAAATTTTATTGCTTAATTTGGTTACTTTTACCCTTTTGCTGTGGTGACCATAATATTATGGTTTTTTCCACGTTTGTAGTTCACGTCATGTGACGTCTGTAGTTCTACTTTTTCGGTAGCCGTTGACATCAGGTTACTCTAGTGCCTGTAATAGTACGCTTAACGCTGTTTTACTTTTTGTTTTGATATAAAATAACACATTGTATTGTGGATGAGGGTCTCAATATACTTTGAAATTGAAAAAAGTTTTTCTCAAAATGGATATATAATAAAAATGTCATATTCTTAAAAAACTCCACAATTAGCAAAGCTTTAATATTACCCATTCCTACCCATTCACCTGGACTCAAATCTGGTTGATAGAGCTCAACGTCAAAAAATGTAAAGTCATGAATTTTAGCAAATAAAACACTTCCCTAAACGTTTACTCAATGAACGAGCACGACGCTAACAGCAATGTCATCAGAACTAAACACAAATCATCAACCTGCGAAAAGGACCTTGGAGTTCAAATATCCAAACTTGTAAGAGTATGAGAGGCAAGCAAAAGTTGCCGCTACCAACGCTAATAAAGTTCTTGGAATGTTAATTTTCATTCATTAGCAGAGATGTCAAAGAATGAAAACACCTTTACACCACCTATATACGCCCACATCTCGAGTTTGCCGTTACTGCCTGATCTCTATACCTTGAAAAAGATATAGACATCATAGAACGCATCCAACATCGGGCTACCAAAGTATCACACGAATTAAAGCGCTTCGATTACAAGACAAGATGCATCAAACTCGGCCTCACCTCTCTACACGACAGACGTTTACGCGGTGACCTTGTCCAAAAATATAAAATTGAAAACAATATTAATTCAGTCAGCTAGCATATTGTTCCACCTAGCATCCCTCCAAGATACGGCCATCGTAAGCACTTTCACCGTGAAATGGATAACAACTGCCTCGTTCGTTTTAACTTTTTCAATAACCGCGTTACTAACCCATGGAACGCAATACCAAACGAATTAGTCAATGCAATTAGCGTCGACCGCTTCAAAGCAAATTTCAATGAACTGTCAAATTACCACAGCGCATCATCTTCCGTGCAATTTTGCACGAGCTAGCTCGGCTAGCTGTTGATGGGCTTACAGAACATGTCCGTTTTGTGTAATTCAACTAATAATAATAATACTCTAATGTCGAAAAATGAATAAACTATAAACTAATAATCGACGTCTTTTTTTTCTTTTATAATTTTTGGTGCATGTTTTTTAGCATTTATTAATTTTTTATTTATATTTTTAGGAAATTGTTTATCTTTAAATTATGAAAAATTGATTCTAAATTTTAATTTAAATTATGAATTATTTTTTACTAATTAATACCCTCTAGTTAGACACCTAGATAATCATTTTAGCTTAAAAACTTAAAGTTATTAAAGTTTACTGGAATCGTTTTTTTTTAATATATTTTGCTTTTATTTTATACTAATTAATATTTTTTGATATAAAATATTTTAAATAAATTATTTAATATTAATTGATTTATTTATTATATGATAGTATTATATACATTATTTAATCACAATAGCTTGATTAATTAATTATGTTTAGAGACAACATTGTCAGCGTGATATTCTTTTTTGGTGACACTCGAATAGATTATAATGAACAAGAAGCTACAAATGATTTTTTTCAGTTCCTAGGTATATTTACGGGGAAAAAAATACATTTTTGGTGGGATAATTTTTTGCCCCACACAATTACATATAAAACGCCCGGTTTTATAATGCTTCGGTAATAAAATTTGGGTTAAACACAAATTAGTTACACTAACTCTTGTATCAAAATTTATGACATTCATTAAACTGATATTAGTTGTAAAAAAAAATTAAAGTACCTGACTTTACTCAGAACTTTTTAATTAATTTATGGTTAATATTCTGTGTTAACTTAATTTTATTTATTATTACTTAGATAATAAAAATATCTAACTTAATTCAAAACTAATTATTTCAGGTAACATGGGTGGCGAGTTCGGACTAATGTTGGGTGCTAGTTTGTTAACATTTGTAGAATTTGTTGATTTATTTATCTTTCTGATATATCATCAAATGCTCAGATTACACACCCTTAAAAAAGTTCCTGATATTTTTGGAAGGAAAAGAAGTCGAATTAATGAGTACATTAAAAAACGCGAGAAAACACGCGTGTAACGTTTGTTTTTAATGAAATATCTTTCGAGTTTGATTTGGAACTTTCAACAGCAATGCATATGTTAGTTGACTTTCAGCTGAATACTTTGGAAAACTTTTGTAAACGTTTACAAAACATGAAGTCTACTTTTAAAACTGTATTTAAAAAACTTATTAATTAATTTAATAAATCATTAAAGTAATTTAATACTTTTTTACTTTAGTTAGTTAGTTAGTTAATTTAAGTTACACAAAACTGCAGCCTTGTTAAACTCATCATCAGCTGAGCATCTATACCCAACTCGTATTTTGGCCACTTTTGTGTGGCATTTACGGTAAATGATGAGTTGTAGCAACTATGATGACTAAAAACTGTCTAGTAGTTATTTAAACTTATCAAGTGATGTTGCCTTGATGACATTATCTGGCGAAGCATTCCAGTCATTGACTACACGGTCGTTAAAAAACTTATGTCTGATTTCGCAGTTCCTGACAATCTCGCGATGAAATCTGATTCGATGTTTGAGCTCAGGGTGCTATGTTGCCAGGCATTACGTGCCAATCAATTAGGTTTAAATTATTGAAAAGCTGATACTTTTGAATAAGATCGCCTCTTTTCCGTCTGTATTCAAGAGTAGTTAATTTTTTGATTTTACATCGAGTTTTGTAGTCTTTATTTTTCAAAGCATGAGGAACTTTCGTGGCATTGCGTTGTACCTTTTCAATTTTTTTTATGTCACTATCAAGGTAAGGGTTCCAGTTTGTATGGCAAACTCCAAATGTGGTCTAATATATGCAATATAAATTTTTTTCCAAATGGCAATGTCTCTTAATACATACGTATGTTTAAGAATTCCAAGCATATTATTTGCTTTGTTTGCAGCTATATTGCGCTGTTGAGCATATTTAAGATTTTCGGAGATTAGAATTCCGAGATCTTTTACAGAATTTGTGACTTCTAAAACTACTCTACTGGTTGTACCGTCATTTTTAATTTCATCCATAATGTAATCAAATTTTATTGTTCCAGAATTAACATGCATAACTTTACATTTTTTTACATTTAATCCATTAGCCAGGTTTGCGTCCATTTAACAATCTCGTCTAGATCAGATTGTAAACCTGCTCGGTCTTCATCATTTTCAACAACTTTCATGAGCTTTGTGCCATCTGCATAAATTTTGCAAATGGCTAATTTGACATGAATTGGCAGGTTATTAACAAATATGACAAAGAGCATTGGTCCTAACACAGAACCTTGGGGAACCCCGCTAGTTACATCAATCCAGTCAGATTTTGATTCTCCAAGTATAACACGCTGCTTGCGGTTTGTTAAGAAGGCTTTTATCCAGTTTAAAAGATTGCCATTTATACCATACATTTCAAGCTTTTGCAGCAATCTTAAATGCAAAACTTTATCAAATGCTTTTGCAAAGTCAAGAAAAATTAGGTCAACTGGTTTTTTCTTTGATTTGCTAAAAGTCAAAAAGTCCATTGTTTCTAAAAGATTTGTGATGCAAGTCTTTTTTGAAACAAAACTATGTTGAGTTTTGGAAAGCAATTTTTTATTTACCAAATGATTGATTATTACTTGTCTAACTATTTTTTCTATAAGTTTGCATGGAACAGAAGTGAGCGATATGGCCCTGAAACTTGCAGGATCTGTTCTACTACCATTTTTATAAATAGGTGTAACATTAGCTCTGAGCTAAGTTAGCGGAACTGTCATTGATGTGGCACATGCTTTTAAAACAAACGGACTAATGTTATCATCACCCATTGACTTATTTCCATTAAGCATATTTAGGTGTTTGAGAAAAATGTTTTGGTCAATTGTTAAATCCGAAGTTAAAACATTTGTTTTAGATGCAAAAGGTTTTAGTGGCTGGGTCAGTGGTTCTTTTCTAAAAACTGATTGATATTGGTTGTTGAGAATGTTTGCTTTTGTTATTCCATCACTGCTAATTTGGTTTGAATCTGAGATTAAGGCTGATATTTGATTGCTCACTATCCGTTTACTATTAATATATGCAAATAGTCTTTTTGGATTGTGCTTGTCGTTAGCTAGCTCTAACTTATAGAAACGTAATGCTCGTTTGCTATTTTTTTTGACCTCCTTTTTGACAGCTATATACTCTGTGATGTGCGCTGCATTTTTCCACTTTGAGTTTGCATTTTTGTACCAGAGCTCTTTTTTAGTCTAATTACCTTCATTAACATGTTTGTGATCCAGGATTGTCTTTTTTTGGCAGTATTTTTTATGCCTTTGTAATAAACTTATGTCATGCTTCATTATAGAGGTTAGACCATACTGAATAACATTTATCAACATCATAATCCATAAATCTAGCTTGCCAATTTATGTTATTTATAAAAATGTTTATTTCATCATATTTACCATATTTATAAAGGAAATTTTTGCTATTAAAACTATTTTGATTATTACTGCTTAAACTGTGCTGCCAGCTAAGATATATATATATATATATCTCTTAGCTGGTACAGCCTCTCAAGGGCATATGCCCTTGAGAGGCTGTACCAAGACAAGGTCCTATTAAAACTTTGTTGATTATATCTTTTGATTCTGATATAATTAGATCAAGTGTGTTGCTAAGATTTCCATCAGTTTTTATAAAAGTTGGACATTTGACATGCTGGTAGAGGTGGTTGTTACAATGAGCATCATTGAACCTGTTTTCAAGACTATTTTTATTGTCAGATGTGATACTCCAGTCAGATTGCCAAGTTATGCCTGGAAAGTTAAAATTTCCTGTCACAATTAAGCCATTATATACTTTTGTATCAACTAAGTATCTAGCGTAACCAAGAGTACAAATTACTTCATTTATTTGCACTGAAGCAGTTGGTGAATTCCTCTCAGGGCGATAAATACAACTTACTAGAAATTTTTCTGATGGTAACTTTATTTCAACCCAAAGTTGTTCAGATTATTTGCATTTAAAATTTTTATTTAGCTGCGAATTGTCTAGTTCACATGCCATTATATCATTTTGAACATAAATTGCTACACCACCTCCGTAACTAATTCCTAAATAGCACCTCCGTAAATCTTTCCTAAATAGCATATAGTTATTGATTGATGGAGCAGAAGTAGAATTGAACGAAGTTTCAGTTATAAAAATTAGATCATATTTGTTCTGTTTAGCTAATAATTGGAGTTCAGTAATTTTGTCTTTCTTGAGTGAAGTTGCATTGGTATAGAAGCAATGGAGAGATTTTGATTTATTCTGGTGAAGATTGCTTTTGTTTGGTGCCGACGTATGTGCTGATTGATTTGCTAATTGTTCAGACTGGAATGGCATATGATAGTCCTGCAACTGCGCAAGCTTCTTTCCGGTCACCAAACAGGTTTTTCTCAGTACCGTTAATATTGATTGTTTTTTGTGTGTTGATGCATTTGAGCCTCCCTCCTCGGATGACAAATTGAAAGGGCTGATTAAGTGCATCATTTGTCTTTAGAGCGTCATTGTACTTTTTCTTATTTTTATTAAGCTTGTTAAAAGTATCAACCTCAGAAGGAGTTTGGTCTGGACTAATAAAATCTTTGTTCCTGTAACTGTCAAATTTTGATAGATTTTTTCCAGAAGCTAGTATACTGTTCCTAGTTTCCACATCTTCAAATTAGACAACAATCGGTTGAGCAGTTGGAGAGTCCTTTTGAGCACTTATATTTGCTGGAAGTTTATGGACTGTTTTGTGAGTGGAACCTGTATTAATGGCCTCAATAACACCTTTTACAGCAGCTTTGTCATCATCGTAAATTTTTGCGCAAGGAAGACCATAAATGACTACACGAGTTTCCTTAGTTGCTTGCATCTTATTATTTTGTTCAGTAACCTTTGCAATAGCCGCACTGCTATTGATTTGGGGTTAGCTACAACCTCTGTCCAAGCTGTTGCATTTACTGTACACGTTTGTGAAGCAGTTGTTGTTGTTTGATGCTCTTTAATTTTTTGTATTTCAAGTTTAAGAGCAACATTGTCCGTTTCAAGTGTTGATATTTTCTCTGTGAGAATTTTAATTGTTTCTGCAAGTGACTTAATCCAACAGTCATGTCTAGTAGTTGTTTCTGATGCTTGACCAGCCATTTTTAGCCAGTTTGTTAGTGCAGATATTGGATTGTGTTCAAAATCCTTTTCTTTTTCTTTTGCCATTGATAATACTTTTGTCATTAATAACATTATTCTGTTTACTAATAAGAGGTATACCACTCTGAATAACAGAGGGTGGTAGCCCTCTTAGCTCCAATCAGGAGCTAAGAGGGCTACCACCCTGAACAACAGTGGATTACCTCTTGATGTGAATTTGTTAAACCTTATTACACAGGGACTTATTACACAGGGACTTATTACACAGGGACTGAAAAGTTTCAATATGTGTTTTTTATCAAAGAGTTATTATATATCTGGAGTTTATATGCATAGGTATCTGGAGTGAGAACGAAGTTAAAATAAGTCAATAAAGTTTTCCTTACTTAATCAGTAATAAAATCAAAAGTACTGCAAATAAAAGATAAAAGATTAGAAAAATTCGTTAACAATATTTAGAGTTAGTTTACGGTTATTTTTTGGCCGTGGATAGAGCACCATTAGTCTTTATATAAAGTTAAATAAACTCTTTAATTCAAAACATAAAAACGGAATTTGTTTTTACACATGACTTAACCAATAAACGCGTTATGACTTTTTTTGTTTTTGAACGACTATGGTGGACCTTCGCTGCCATAAGAAAAAAAAATTTTACGTGGCCCATCGTTGCCATGGCCATACGGTTTTACTTGTTTACAAATGCCGTGAAAAAAATGTGGATTAATATACGACAACAGAGTTAAAACACAAATACAATAGAAACTACACTTATTATGATGCATTTTATTCTAAACATAAATAAAAACACACGTATTTATTTCAAAATTAGAATACAAATGCAGTTCAACGACATCCATTGCATAAAATTTTAGCAACTCATTTAAATCTGTTGCAAACCAATAGTATTTCAAGTTACAGCAAATGATCAGTCGTATCTATGGTGATTACATATTGTGATTACCTATTGTTATCATGTTTTTGACTGCAAATTGATTGAAAATAAAGTTTAAAAAATAGTAATTATATATAGATATATATACGGAAACTAATTACCATGAATTAACAAAGTATGTAAAATCACATTATATGTTATT